TGAACTCAGACAGTCTCTCACCCTGTTCATTCCATCCTAGACCATGGATCCCAATGTGGAGTTCTTCGACTGATCTTCTAGGTCCTATCTAGGTGTTAAAATCACTGACAATGATCTTGTAGAAGGTGTGGTCTTCTTTATAGAACTTCTCCAGCTCCGTGTAGAACTTCTTAACTTCTTCATCATAATTAGATATTGGTGTGTCGACAATGAAGATAGAAACTGCCAGCAGTGAGCCACATCTATTCAAGTGTAATTATCCGACTCAGGTTGTTAGGCATTCGAATGAATCAATGCTCATGGCCAAGTTCATGTTGACAAGGACACCGACACACCAACGCCTCTTTTGTCACATGTTCTGAGGGACAGTTCTTATCCAGTGTCGAAAATGGTGTGATATCGCCATACCAAGGTCACGAGTTGCCCCCCACGAGCAGCTCTCCAGCACGGCCATGGCTCCAGAGGCAAAAGGACTTAATCCAGAGCCCGGCAGCTTGCGGCAGAAAAGTGAATGGACTATGCATTAAACTATGGCTCCATGACTCCCTGGGAGGGAAAGGGTGTTGCTCCCTTCCACCTCCCCCCCCACCCCCGCAGCATAGTGGCTGCCGCCTCTCGGAGCTTATTGGAAATCCAGGTGTGAGTCGGTGGTGACAGGGCAACTGCAGTCTCATGGGAAGGGGGGCGGTACTGGCTAGTCCTTCACACCCTACTGAGGTCACGAGTTACCCCCCACAAGCGGCACTCCAGCACGGCCATAACACCAGACTCACAGAAACCAATCTCATAATTATCTGGCTCTTTGCAGAAATCCCTCCAGACTTACCTAGTAAAATACCAAAAATCCAAAATCATATGGTTCTCATAACCAGCTATAGAAAACAAATTATTTCACAATGCCTTTTCAGCAATTCTGATTGTTGGGGGGGGGGGGGGGAAATTCTAAACAATAGTGGTGCATCTTTTGTCAAAATAATGAATGTAATCAAAGTAGAGAGAAAGTTAAGTAAAAATCATCTGGCTCACAAGCATTGGGAGGGGTGGGTGGAGGGTATATTGGGGCTCTTGGTGAAAAATAAGTACTGGTGAAAGGAAAGGTGTTTGATCATTGTATGACCGAGACTTAATCTTGAAAGCTTTGTAACTTTTCCCACAGTGATTCAATAAATAAATATAAGAAAAAAGAAAATGGCGTGATGTGGTTGATGCCTTCTTGTTTCGGTCAGACCAATTATGTCATACTTGATCTTTCACGCTTGCACTATCAGGTCCTCGATGGATACATCCGATGCCAACATACATGCACTGAAAATACAGGCAGTCATTTTAGTCCTTCTTCGTTTTGGCAGCCTACTTTGGCTTTGAAATTTTATCAGCTTCTCTTTCTTCATCCTTCTTAACGCTGCCGTATTGGTGGCTCTTTCAGGGTCAGGAGAATGAGACCCATAGTATTTACTGTTTTTGGCATATTGAATACACCACAGATAGCTTGCCAGGAGTAGAAAAGCAGTGAAATTAAGTTTTTATTTGGAGGTTTTGAAGGGAAAGAGGGAGAGAAAGTGGGAGAGAGTGGAGAGTTACGTGCTCAAGAGAGAACCTGGGCTTCTCCAAGGGCAGAGAGAGCCCCTACACACATCCCAGCATTAGGCATGAAAGCATGAAAGTACACATCTCAAGAGAAGAGATGAGGGTGACACATGTGCTCAGGCACCGCATGTGCTTGACCACATAGGCAGTAGCAGCACATGGGCTCGGGCAACATATGGCCACACTTGCTTCCTTTGTTCAAGGTGGCCTTTATAGGGTTTCTCCAAACTGCCCCCATGTGGGGCTTCTACCTAGGTAAAAGTTACCAGGGAGGTTACCAGATTACCAGGGGTTTGGGATGGTGATGGCCTTCTTTGAAATTCCTTTCCTGACTTTTTTCTGCAGGAGCGTCTGTTGGAGGGGATTGGTCCAGCCTCTGCAGGGTCTGTTACAGACTGGCTCCAGTTCTCCATGAGATCAGGGCTATTGCTTCCCAGGAGATTTACTGCCATTGCCTTGGGAAGGGGCCTTCCCTATCTGCCTGTCTACATCAGAATCACTCCTGAGACGTTCAGGGAACTCCACAGAGTGCTGGGGATTGAACCTGGGTGGGTTGTGTGCTAGGCAAGTGCCCTATTGCTGTACTATTTCTTACAACCTATTCTCCTACCCTCTCATCCTATCTTTTTCTCATAAAGCTTGAGCCCAGGCCAAGCTTGTGGAACACAATTCACAACTCCCACCTTCCGCTAGGCACATGGCATCTTACAACCAGAGTCTGGCTGAATCCAACATTCAGGCTGGAGGTAGCACAGTGGGCTGAGCATGGGCTTGGGCTGCAGGAGGCAAGGGTTCTGTTAGTTCCACTAGGGCTCCTAAGGACCAGGGGACCGACCCCACAGCACTGAGCAGGAGTAGCCCCTAAATACCAATAGACATGGCCCCCAAACAAAAATTAAGCAAAACAAAATCCCACCCTCATCTTCCCCCTTGCCTTCTTGGCAGCCCGAGTGGCTGGAGAAATCTGTCCTTCCTCTCTCCTTCAGCTAATGATCATTGCTCCTTCTCCCCACTTTCACCACTACCATGTTTTTGTTCTTGCTTTGGTGCCACACCTGGCTGTGCTCAGGGCTTACTCCTGGCTTTGCATCCAGGGATCACTCCGGGCAGGCTCAGGGGACCATGTGTGCTGTTGGGGATCAAACTGGGTTGGGTAAGTGCAAGGCAAGTGCCTCAAGTGCAGTCCTGTCTCTCTGGCACACCTGCTGCCATGTTTTATAGGAAGTTCTCAGAGGGAACTCCCTCAAACCCAACACATAACACCCTGCCTCTGGAACCTTCTGGCAGTCCCTTGGGGCCGTTTCAGAGATGAGCCCCCTGCCTCTCCAGCAGCCCCCTCACCTCTCTTAATAAACGTGCTCCATTCTCTGTCGACACGAAACCAACCCTCTTGGGCCAGAGAGCTGCGACTGCGGGGAAGCTGCAGGCAGCTGACTCGGGTTCAATCTCCAACACCACATACGGTTCCTGCCATGAGGAGTTATCCATGAGCCCTGAGATAGGATAAGTCCTGAGCAACGTCAGGTGTGCACCACCCTTCCCAAAGAATAAAGCAATTGCCAAAGCCCAACCATCTCCTTTGACTGTTTCTCTCTCTCTCTTTCTCTCTCTCTCTCTCTAAACACACCCTTCCCCGCCCCACACACAATTATCTTTCTGGCTTTGAGGTTCTTTTGCTTGCAGCAACAGTACTCAGAAGAGCCATTCTTAGCAGTCTTCTGTTCTCTCTACCCTTCAAAATACCTAGTTTTGGAGCCACAGCTGGTAGCACTCAGGGTTTACTCCTGGCTCTGTGCTCACTCCTGGTGGTGCTTAGGGGACACGGGTCAGCCACGTGCAACGTGCAAGGCAAGAGCCCTACCTGCTGTACTACCACTCTGGCCTCCAACTGTCCTCTTTTGTTTCGCTTTTGGGTCACACCTGGCAATGCTGAAACTACTCCAGGCTCTGTGCTCAGGGGTCACTCTTGGCCCTGCTCGGTGGACCCTAGAAATATCCCCTGGCTTGTTGACTCATTTCCCATTTCCACCATGTGTGACCTACTAGCAGTGTGAAGGCTGCTCCTGGCCCCTTGCACCCCCACCCCTCATGGGGCCCTGCATTTCCTCCTCTGGTTCTCTGTAGGTTCCTGCTCTTTGGAACACTCTTCCCCCAGAGTGGATGCCAGGACTGGCTTTTTACTGTTTTCTTCCAAGGTGAGTTTGTTTAGTCTTTGGGCTTTAAATACAACTAACGTGGGCAGTCTGGACACCTGCCCTGAACTCTGCCCCCAGTCTCTGAGTGTGCTGAGGGTGGGAGAGGCAGCTGCAGGCAAGATCATTTCCTGGGTGCTTTGCAAACTTCTGGGCCACCTGACTGCTGGTGAGTCTCCTGAAGTCCTGTAGGTGACTTGGGAGCATGGGGAGGAAAGTAGCAGTCCCAGAGAGTGCTTCCTCCTTCCTGTTTACCTAGCAGTCTTCCTGAGGAAGTGTCCGAGTCAGCCTGGGCACTGCCTGTCCAGCACAGATGTGTGCCACCGGCCAGCCTGAGGCAGCAACCTGCTGCACCTGAAGCTCACTAGGTGTTGACGGCAAAGGCACAGAAGTCCCTTGGTGTTTGGGGCACCAGGAATCACTCTGCAGGGAAGGCAAAATAGTCCTGACCTCCTTCCAGCTTCAGGACCGGCGTCTACCCGCGCAGAAAAGGACTTAAGGAAAGGGGAATACTGGAAACTTTATTCGGGACCGGGGGGACCGGGAGAGAAACGTTAGTTTGAGAGAAAACAGGCTTCCTCTCAGGGTCCCATCTCAAAGCGACATGCAGGCAAGTCCCAGGATAGGTGAGTCTGCTGTACGCGATTGCCGGAGCGGTTCCTTCCTCCCGGCCTTGCCGTGCTGATGCAGCGGCCCAGCAGCGTCTTTAACCCACAGCCCGGCGCCCGTCGGCCAGCCGCCCGCCGCAGCCGCTTCACGGTGCCCCACGCCGCTCCGCCGGGCACGGAGGCTCGGGGTCCACGCACGAGTCCGGGAAGCTCCCCGGCGGTCCTGCGGCCCGACCACGCCGCTCCGCGCCGACTCGGCCGGTGCTCTCGCGGCCCCCTCCCCGAGTCGGGGCACAAGCTCCGAGGCCCCAGACCGGCCCCGCCGCACAAAGCTTCCCGCGAAACTGACGTCGCGCCGCCGGCCGCGAGGCCCCGCCCCGCCGTGCCCCGCCTCCGCGCCGGCGCTGGTCGCCGCGCGCCGGCGCTGGCCGCCGCCCATTGGCCGGCTCGCGGCGGCGCGAGCGAGGCGCAGCCCGCGATTGGCCCGTCGGCGGCCCGGGGGCGTGTCCGCGCGCGCCCCGCCCGCGGCCGCTCGCCGTGGTGCGCGCTCGGCGCGGCGGCGGCGCGTGGCAGGTCGCGGGCGCGCGGCGGCGGCGGCGGCGGCGGCGGCGGCGGCGGCGCGAGCCCGGCCCAGCCTCGTCCCGCCCGCCCGGCCAGGCCCTCCCGGGGCAGCGGCGCCGCCGGCCGAGCTCAGGCCCGGCCATGACCGACTTCAAGCTGGGCATCGTGCGGCTCGGCCGGGTGGCCGGGAAGGTGAGCGCGCGGGCGTGCGGGCGGGCCGCGGCGTCGGGCCCCGGGCGCGGGGCGGGCCTGCGGGGCCGGGAGGGCGGGCCGCGCTGCCCACGCTGCCCACGCTGCCCACGGGGCCGGCGCGTGCTCAGGCCGGGGCTGCCCGGCACCTGTGCTGTTTCCAGGAGCCGCCGCCTGCAGCTGCAGCAGCCCGGACCTCACCCCGCATGGGAACCCTGTTCCCATCCCCAGCGGCGGAGGCGGCCGGACCAGGTAAAGGCAGCTCGGACCCTGCTGGACGCCTTGGCCCGCCGGCCCCGGGGACGGGTGGGCTCGCCCCGGCCCGCCCCGAGGCCCAGGCGCCAGCGGAGGACTTCGGAGCAGGAGCCTCCGGGCAGCGCGTGGGCGCTGGACGCTTCCGGGGCCCTTGGGCGCACGCCGGGCATTGCCCTCCCGCCAGGAGCTGCTGGCCTGCCGGCGGCGCCGAGGCCCAGAGTAACGCGCCCCGCTGTGGTTCGTTTCCAGACCAAGTACACGCTGATCGATGAGCAGGACATCCCACTGGTGGAGGGCTACTCCTTTGAGGTGAGCTCGGCGTGGCCCCTGCCCTCGCGTGCGTCTGCGGGGAGAAGGGCCGGGCCCTGGGACGCGGGGGTGTGGGCGTGTGCGCGCGCGTGCGGCGCGGGTCGAGCCGGAGCCGGATTGCTCTCCCAGATCTCCTGGAGCACCTTGGCCCGGTGCCCCCCACCGCCTCCTTGCCACTGTTGCTAGGGGAACTGCAGGATGCTGACGGGCTCAGATGGCCGCTGTGGGCTGGCCCTGCACAGGCTGGGTGGTCACTGGAACAGGGGCCCTACGGCTTGTTGTGCTGTGGGAAGTTGGAGCCTTATTTCACTTTTCCCCCTCGGGGTGCTCCTCTCCAGTGACGCTCAGGGCCAAGGGGCTGTTTGTGGCTGTGGAGCTTAGCTGGGTGTTGGCTGTCCCCTGGCCTTGTTGCTTGGGCCTGGTGGTGTGGAGTGGGGACTCGGCAGTGCTGGGGGCAGAACTCGGGCTTTGAGTTTGCTCCTTTGAGATCTTCCCAGCCCTGTATTGGTTCTTTTTTGGGTTCAGGCTGCTCCACAGGGGTGACTCTTTGCAAAGCAAGTGCCTTAAGTTCCGCACTCTCTGGCCCCAGGATTGCTGGATTTTTTCAGGCGGCGGGTAGGAGGGTGCGTGCTTAGCTGTTCTCTTGAGTTCATTTTGGGGTTTTATGGGTCACACTTGGCTGTGCTCAGGGATGACTCCTATCCTGGACACTGGAGCCAGGGATTGAACACCTGAACCTGAGCCCCCAGGACAGCCATGTGCAAGGCAAGCCCCTCACCCACTGTGCTGTCTTTTTGGGCCCAAATTGGAGCTACTCTAATGAATTTCCATTTCATTCAGGCCCGGATGGAAGTGGATGCGGATGGCAATGGTGCTAAGATATTTGCTTATGCCTTTGACAAGAACCGTGGCCGGGGCTCAGGCAGGCTCCTGCACGAGCTGCTGTGGTGGGTACCCTGGCCATGAGCCCTGTTGAGGGACAGCATTCCCGAGGCCCCTGGTTCATACCTGTCTGCACTGTATGCACCTGGAGGCCCTGTGTCCTCTGGGAGGATGGGCTCTGTTCCCCTCGTGATGGTCTCTGTGGTGGATGGACCCTGTGTCCTCTGGGGAGGACAGGCCCCGTGTGTGGACAGGCCCAGTGCAGAGTGGACTTAGCAGTGTGGGACTCTAGGTGGTGGGAGGTTATGTCCCTGGTGCCCCGGCTCAGCTGTAGAGACAATGGGGTGGGACAGAGGGGTCTGCCCCTCATATGTCTGCAGCTCCCAAGCGTTTGTTCCTAGGGAGCGGCACCGGGGTGGCGTGGCACCCGGCTTCCAGGTAGTGCACCTCAATGGCGTGACCGTGGACAATCGTCTGGACAACCTGCAGCTGGTGCCATGGGGCTGGAGGCCCAAAGCCGAGGAGACATCCAGCAAGCAGAGGTGGGTCTCCTGCCCTGGCGCGTGGGGTGGCCAGGGCTCCTCACATCACCTGAGCCCCTCAGAGCACCTGACTGAAGAGGGCAGAGCTGGGTCCACCTGGCCCTCCCCAGTTCTGAGAAACGTCAGGGTCCCGGTGTGTGCATGCCCGGAGCTCGGCTGGCCGGTCTGTCAGGTAGAAGAAGGCAGGAGATGTGGCTGAAGCCTGTGAGCCGTGTCCGTGGCACCGAGCACTGCTGGGGGCAGGGCGCCGGGCAGAGGGGGAGCTCGGGTGGTTCCCTGTGGCCTAGAGCAGCAGCTGTGCAGGGACACTGAGGCCAGGGTGTCCTGCAGCTCAGCGGGGGCCGCAGGCACCTGTGGCACTGCCTGTCCCCATGTCATCAGCATTGCCCGGCCGCCAGCAGACGCTGATGACCATGGGCTCAGGGCTGGGTGTGTGGGTGCTGTGTTCACGCTTGGAGCGATGGACTGGCTCCCGAAACGTGGGTGGCGGGGCAGGAAGGGAACGGAGGCCCACGGCCTCAGCTCAGCCAGGGGGGTCCGACTGGGGATGTGAGTTGGGGGAAGTTGGCCTTTGGGTGTGAGGGAGAGACTTGGCAGTGACGCTGATAGGCATCAGGTAGCCCCTCGCAGTACAGCACCATTCGCCATGCCAGTCTGGCACTTAAACCTAGCTGCGGCTGCTGCCGTGCCGAGCTGGGGTTTGCTCCTGCCCCAGAGCCCCAGCTGTCAGGCCAGCTTGCTGGGGCTCCTGGGTGCAGAGCTGTGCCAGGAGGGACCAGGCCGATTCGGCAGGCCTGCCCGAATCTGGAGCCCGGGGGCTCCTCTGCGGGGCCGCTGCTGTTCTCCCTCTGCAGTGGGCTTACCCTGCATCTCGAGGGCAGGGCATCTGTCCCTCAGGGGTTCTGGTTGGAGTCATACTCAGCACTCAGCTCACTTCCTGCGGAGTCAGGGACTTATTTGGTGCCAGAGGTGGGGCCTGGGTAAATCCCATACACCCCCCTCCGGCCGGCAGCCCTCCCCCTGTCCCTGTCTGAGTCTCTCCCCCTGCACTGTCTCTGAGGCCCTCCCCCTACAGTGTCTGAGACCCTCTCCCTGCACTGTCATTGAGACCCTCCCCTGCACTCTCTCTGCAGCCCCTTCCCCCACTTGCTCTTCCAGGCTCCAAGTCTCTGGGGGTGTGCTCGGGGCCTGAGTAGTGCGGGGAGTCACTGCCAGTGAACCCAGCCTCGGGAGACAGAAGGGCCAGTGAGGCTGCCTGGGCACGGGCACGCTGTGCACCCGCCCTCTCCCACAGGTGCTGCCCACAGGACATAGCACAGACATTCCACACGGGGCAGCCCTAGAAGGGCAAGTTGCCAAGAGACAGGCTGGGGGGTTTCCTGAGCAAGAGGTGCGGGCTTCGTCCTCAGCCACCTGGCATGACCGCCAGCATCTTCTCTTGCAGGGAGCAGAGCTTATACTGGCTCGCGATTCAGCAGCTTCCCACAGACCCCATTGAAGAGCAGTTCCCAGTCCTGAATGTGACCCGCTACTACAATGCCAATGGGGATGTGGTAGAGGAGGAAGAGAGCTCCTGCACCTACTACGAGTGCCACTACCCACCCTGCACTATGATGGAGAAGCAGGTACGCCCGCCCCGCGCTGGCTTCAGGCCCTCCTGGTCTGAGCCTTCATTGGTCTCTGATGGTGGCCATGGTCGTCTTGTTTCTGCAGCTCCGGGAGTTCAACATCTGCGGGCGCTGCCAGGTGGCCAGGTACTGCGGCTCCCAGTGCCAGCAGAAGGACTGGCCTGCCCACAAGAGGCATTGCCGGGAGAGGAAGCGCCCGTGCCTGCAGGAGGCAGAGCCCGAACGATGACCAGAGCGAGCCCCACGCATCACACCCCTGCCCGTGGCTCTCCATCCACCTCAAGCGCTGAGGGAGTACCTGGTGGCCAAGGCTGGCCATGCCCAAGAAGTCCGCAGTGTGCCCGAGCAGCTCTTGGCCCTTGTGGGGGACAGCATCCCCCAGGACTCTGCAGCAGAGACAGTGGGAGACTCCTGCTGGGATGGTCCTCATTATTTATATGTTAATATGTTTGTAAACTCATGTACAGTTTTTTTGGGGGGAGGAAGGGAGAGGGTTAGAAATGACAATAGAATCATTTGCTGTAACCCTCAAATGGTACCCGGTACCTGCTGCATCTGTGAGCAGCAGGTGGGCAGAGGCCCCTCTCTGGGCCCAGCCAGGCAAGTGGTGGGAATGATGAGGCAGCCAGCCGCGGGCATGCACTTGGAGGATCCGAGTAGAATGGGGTTTGCTGAGCCTGGTTGCCAGACTTGTCGGAGATATGAAGGCAGAGCCTCCCCATCCTCTCTGGCTGTGGCTGTCAGTTGGCCTCTGGGCCCTGGCCTGCTCTGCCTTGAGGTACCCCACCCACCGGCAGACTCATCTGTAAGAAACAGCCCTGTTTGGCCTCTGCCTCTGTCCCACTGGACTGGGCCCATGCTTACCCTGCGGCCCATGCCTTTCCCCTGCTCCCAGGCTCCAGTTGAGCCTAGACTCCTGTCTGGTCAGCTTGGGGCTGAGTGGGCTTAGGGACAGGGTGTCAGGCCACTCAGGTGGTATGCTTCTGGACAGTGCTCTGGGGTGATGTATTTGTCCAGGCTGGGCCTACGTTCATGTGAAGTACCCAGGATGGATACCCTAGGCTGCTCCCACTCATATCTCAATACAAACCCTGCCTCTGGTGTCCCAGATGGCTGGGGGGAGGGCCTTGTGAACAACCTCGGGGCCTGGTCTGCTGCTCATGGGCAGCCCCGTGCCCTGGTCAGGGCATTCCCTAAGCCTGGTGTGTGGGATGTCCAGGCTGAGCTCCCTCCCTGGCTTTCCTGACACCCAACGTGTGTCTGCGCAAGTCGAGGAGCTGATGTGGGCCAGGGAGGCAGGTTCTGCGCTGCTGTTCGTGACATTGCCAGAGCCACCTCCAAACCAAGCATACCTGTGCAAATGATTGGGCTCTACTGGCGTCAGGCAGCTTACCTCTTGATTTGGGAGTCATACTTGGTGGTCCTCAGGATTCACTCCTGGCTCTGCACTTGGAGATCACTCCTGGCTATACTTGGGACCATGTGGGATGCCGGGGATCAGACTTGGGTCAAGTGCATGCAAGGCAAGTGCCCTGTGCACAGCCCTCTCCACCCTCTGAGTGACGTGTCATCCTGGGCATGCTTGCAGGCAGTGCACCGGGAGCTGGGGATGAACTTGTGGGCTGACCCCAGTTTGCTGTCAAGTCCTGCCATGGCCACGGATGGCCCCTGGGACAAGGCCTGAGCAGCTTTGCCCCTGCCCTAGTCGCCCTTCTGTTCCCCGTCTCCCACCACCCTGTCAGGGCGTTCCTGCTTTTCCTGCAGCCCCGCAGCCAGACTCCACAAGCCACTCACACTGCTTCACACCTGTTTGCTTTGGGGACCAGGAGTGTGTGGTGCCTTGTCCCTGGCAGTCTCAGGAGATGTCATGTCCGCAGCATTGGCATCTGCGAGAGTCAGGATTCACCCCTACGCTCTTCAGACTCACCTGCAGACCTGCAGAATGGAATTTCTTTGAGGGGGTTGCCTAGTTTCAACGTTGTTTTGGGGGGATCACATCTGGGCAGTGTCAGGGCTTATTCCTGCCTCTACTCAGGGATCAGGCTCGACTAGGTACCCTAGGGTCCCGGGGGTGGCACAAGGTTTGGGCTGTCACTTTTTCACCCATTTTGAAGACTGGGAAACAGGCTGGACAGCTAGGGTATGGGCAGAGAGAGGGGCCGGGCCAGCCCTTCGCACAGGGGCGAGCGCGGGTGGTCCGCCAGCCGTCAGGCGGCGCTGCAGCCCTGGGGCCCGCGCCCGGAAGCGGCGCCCGGAAGGGGAAGCGGCGGCCGCGAATGAGTGGCAGTTTCCGCTCCGTCCCGACTCGTGCCTCAGGCCGCGGCTCAAGCTGACCTTAATGGCCATCAGCTATGCCGCCCTGCTCAGCGCCGCGTCCTCGTGCTCGGTGGCGGCCGGGCGCGCCCAGCTGCTGCAGGCGGTGGACACGGAGTTCACCGCGGACTCGGTCGAGTGGTGTCCACTGCAGGGCTACGGGCGCCTGCTGGCCTGCGGCACCTACCAGTTGCAGGTTCCCATGGGCGGCCAGGCCGGGGTGCGCGGGAACCCCCGGGCGGCGGCGTCGGGGGGCGCGGGGAGCCCCGGGCGGGGCGCCGCTGCCCGCGCCCGACCCTCGCGCCCTTTTGCAGGACGAGCCGGCTGCGGACAGGCCCCGGGAGCGCATTGGCCGCCTCTACCTGTACCAGGTCCAAGAGGACAGGCCGGACGGGCCCCTGCAGGAGGTGTATCGCAGGGACTCCAAGGCCGTTTTGGACATGAAATGGTGCGCCGGGGCCCAGGGTGGAGGCAGGAGTGGTGAGATCCCGCACGTGGCTGGCCGAGGGTTGCTGTGTCTCCCCAGGGCGCACTTCTGGGCACTGCCAGATGTGACTGCAGGCAAACCCTGGCCCAGCCCCAGCCAAACAGTCTCTGCTCTCAGCCGTCGTGCGGCTCCCTTTCCGTGTCTTGGTCTGCCCTGACTCTGACTGGCACCAACTTTGCCCCTCAGGTGCCACAGGCCATTAGCTGGCCGCCCCACCCTGGGCTTGGCAGACGCCAGTGGGTCTGTGCAGCTGTTGTGTGTGATGGAGTTTGAGGTCAGTGCCTAGGCCCAGGGTGGGGGGTCTGGTGGGGAAGGGCAGCTGGGGCTGTGCAGGCACAAACATTCCTGGACATTTCTGCCCAGCCGGAACTTTGCTCCGTGCTCAGGGATCACTCCTGGCGGGTGGTGGGGATTCAGCTGAGCTCCACCTTGGTGCAAGGCCAGCACGTGCCTGTGCTCTGTCTCTGGCCCTCAGTGGTGAAAGAACTTTGTCAGAAAACGTCCCAGGCACTGCTATGTGCCTGTGGCGCTCTGGCTCCAGGTTGGACACAAGCTTGACGTCTCTGCCCACCTCTTCCGAGATGAGTGTTGGGGGCCTGGCTGGATGCTGTGTCCCCGAGGATTCGCATTGCCCTGGCAGTGTGGCGTCAGCCACCAGGCCTGAGGGAGAGGCCATTGTCTGCTTGGGACATGTCCTGAAGGGCCACTCACCGACATTGTCTGCCTGGGGTCTTAGGCACCAAGCTGTGTGCAACGGAAACCAGGGGATGAGTGACATCCAGGCAGGTGGGCCCCAGAGCTGGGTCGGAGGCGGGCTGCGGGCCAGCAGAGGGCGCAGACACCCCAGGGCGCAGCCTGAGAGCTGGAGCTCAGCAGAGCCAGTGTGCCTTTATTTGCTGGACACAGGTCGCCACCAGGGCCGCAGGAAGTGTGGGCTCTCGCAGCAGCACCCCTCTCCCCACAGAGCTCATATACGCTGCAGCCAGTGTCACACTGGGCTGAAGAGGAGCAGATGACTCTGGCCACATCCCTGGACTGGTCCTCTGGGAAAAGGGGGAGGTGAGGCTGGGGTTGGGGCAGGGAACCCGGCAAGGGCCGTGGCTGGGGAGGTGCTGGAAGGGCGGAGAGCTTGTCCGAGCCACGCCCAGCTGTGTGTGCCCGCGGGCTCTCTCCACAGCCCTTCCAGCCAGCCCCTACGCATTGTCTCCAGCAACTCCAAGGGGCGTCTGCACCTGCTGCAGGTGGGGCCAGGGTGCCAGCTGGTGGAGGAGGCCTCCTGGCAGGGCCATCACTTTGAGGCCTGGGTCGCTGCTTTCAACTACTGGCAGACGGATGTGGTGTACTCAGGTGGGTGCCCCTGCTGGTGGGAGGGGCGGTCTGCAGGCAGGGTGGCAGCCCCAGTGGCACTCCGTGCCCCATGCCCATTGCCACACCCTGGGCAGTCCCTGGCGCCTGCTGCCTGGGGGGGTCTGGGGGTGAGGACATCTCCCCATCTGGGTGTGGAGGGGAAAGGCCGCCCAGGAGACGCTGGCCAGCTGGGTGGTGCCAGGAGGGCCTCAATGAGGGCCAGCCAGCGGGCACCACTTTCTACGGATGTTTTAGAACACAGTAGCGTTGGGGGACCATGCGGCCCCAGGGCTTAAAGCTGGGGCTTGGCAGGCAAAGCTCATGCAGCTCTTGGGGGTCTGTCTGCACCTAGCCCCTTCTGTTTACCCCCTTGGCCCTGGGCACGGTGTCCCATTCACCGTTGTGCCCCTCTCCGCCATGCCACTAGCTGTTTTTACTTTGGCTGTGTGAGCACTCTTGCTTCTGCAGTGAGCACACAGGCGACCCTCTACCCCCAAAGGCATGTCTGGTCTTGGTCTCCAGGGGGCAGCACTGAGCATCCCCTGCCACGCCCTCTGCCTGGCTCCACGCCTCTGTGGCTCTGGGCCTGGACAGTTCCTTTGCTAACCAGAGTGGCCTGAAGGAGATCTGCCCAAGGGCAGAATTCCATCTAAGGGCGTGCTTGTTTCTCCTTTCTTAGCTAGAAATCCATTTAAACAGTCACTGAAATTTACTTATTAATGTTTCTGGTCATTTTGCATGGACACAGTAAGAGATACATTAAGTTTAAAGGGTGGCTCTTCCTGGGGACATCTTGCTGTATATTCCAGACCTGTCCCTCAGGCCAGGTTAGTCTTTCCTAACCCCATCAGGGTCTTTATTCAGTTACTTCCTTTTAGGTCATGACAGAGTTTGTCCATGACCGTGCTCTTATACCTCTTATGGCACTTAGCCTGTCCCTATTTTGATGCCAGGGTAGCTTACGGCTTGTCGTGGACCCATCCTTGTCGCTCGCTGGAACCCCTCTTTTGGGGTGTTAGGAACTAAGGGCAACTTAGGCTTAAGTCAAGTGAATATGATGGATGCCCAGGAGTAAATTTTATTTGGAGTCAATTAACTCCCATGTTACAAAAGCATAGCATCAACTGTCTTCCTGTGTCTGTACAAAGAGGACATTGCTCTAAAATAAACTATGCAAATGATATAAAGGAAAATGAAAAGCAGTTTCACTTACATGCAAAAAATCCAGAGCCCTCAGAAGAATTTGACCATAAGTTACACGGTGTGATTTGGGAATATATGTGATTAACAGGGGGGAAAGAGCACAAGGGAGTTAAAGATAAAGCCAGAGGATTGGGAATGCTGATGGAATTGGGTGTGCCTCCAGAGCACTGTGGTGGGAGTAATTCAACCTAAACTCACCGCAGGGGCAGGGGAAGGACAAGCCAATGTTACTTCCTAAAATGTTTGGAACTATAATCCACCATTCCCCCCCACCCCCCGGTCTCCAGGATCTCACCAATGCACTGTGCCTTTGTTCGAGCAATTCCTGTTTGCTCGAGTTCTCTGCACCCCTTAGTTTGGGGGATGAAGGGGTTTAGGCCGCACTTGGCTCTATGCTCAGGAATCTCCCTGCTGCTTAGGGACCAAATGCCATCGGAACCCCTCCACTGTCTCTCCGGCCCCTGGCCTCTGGTCTCGTCCCTGTCCAGACGGACCCGGCCACAGCCACTGTGCTCAGCAGGGACAGGACCCGGCCTGACAGCCATGGGTTCAGGTGAGGAGGTGAGGTCCTCGAACACGCCGCCAGAGTCTGGGGTATCTCCTAGGCCCTGGGAGGATCTGGCTTCTGTTCAGAGTGAATTTGAAGAGGGGTTTCCTGACTTGGACCCCTTTGGAGCTGATGAGCATGGCTCACCCAGTGGGAAAGCACAGGGTGCTGGCTCTGCAGGAACACAGCAGAGCAGCAGTGGGTGGGTGTGGAGTGGGGGAGAGGACAGTGGGGCGGCCGCAGCTGGGCAACGCCTGTCTGCGTGCAGGAGCAGAGGCTGCACATCCTCAGTGGTTCTGCTTTACCAGAGTGTGTTCAGTCTGCTCAGGGGAATGAAATAGGACCTGCGCAGTGCTGGGTGGTCGGATAAGAGGAGTGTCGTGGTGGATGGAATGACGGGCGGGGACATGGGGAGATGGGTGTGTATGTGGATATATAGATGAGTGGGTGAGCAGGTGGGGAGATTGGAATGGATAAACAGAGGAGTATGGGTGAAGAGGGAGTGGACGGATGTGTGGGTGGATAGATAATAGGTGGATAGATGGGTGCTAAGAAGAAAACTAGATGATGGATGTCAGAGCAACAGTACAGCGGGTAGGGCATTTGCCTTGCATGCAGCTGACCCAGGTTCAATCCCTGGTATCCCATATGGATCTCTGAGCTCTGCCACAGTAATTCCTGTGTGCAGAACCAGGAGTAACCCCTGAGCATTGCAGGGTGTGACCCAAAAACATTAAATAAAAACAGAAAGGAAAAAGATGATGGGCAGGCTATGATGCGTGTGTGGTGGGTGACAGTGGGTGTATCAGCAGTGGAAGATGGTGGGTGGGTAGATGGGTAGTGGGTGCATGGTGGGTGAATAATTCTTGTTCCTTCTGTCCCTCTCGCTCTCCCCTCTGCCTGACTCTTCGTCTTCCTTGCCATCCTTCCTACAGCATAGCCCCGATCTTTGTCAATCTGTTTTGGAGCAGGGCCCAGCTCCCTCGTGCTCCCTGATTGGTTCTGTGGAAAGGGTCCCTTTTACAGTGAGGTTACAGTGGGGTTTTTCTTTCAAAACACATGGCAGCAGCCCTGGAGTGTGGCTCAGCGCCAAGCATGTTTCTTGCATGCATGAGACCTGGGTTTGATCCCTAACTCGTGGTGGGAGTACATGGGACAGTGCTGGAGGTTCCAGACCTTGGGGTCTTCATGTTCTTTGCTTCATGCATGCAGTTTCTGTTCAGGGTTCTTGGCATCTGGGAGCATTGATTGGTGGGGCTGAACAGAAGGCATTTTTGCCCTGAGCACCCCGGTCAGGGAGTCCCTAGTCGACCTGGTCTCTTCTGCCGTGATCAAACCCAGCCCACCCCGTGGGGAGGCTCCTCTGTCCTCGCTCTCCCTTTTCTCCTACAGGTAGAGTCTGTCGTCTTTCTCTTTTTCTTCAAGTCTGTAGACATAGCACACAGAGTGACTGTCACCAAATTCTTGTGCCTGCTGCCCACTGCACCCCTCAGAAAAGCCACGCTTCCTGCAAAGGCGTTTCCTGCTCTGGGTGCTGTTCTTAGGGCATTTCTGTTTCCCCACAGGTGGAGACGATGCTCTTCTGAAAGCCTGGGATATCAGGATGAAGGGCGCCATTGTGTTCAGCAGCAGGAGGTACAGCGGCGGGCCCGGCCGTGCACTGGGACCCCATAGCCTGCTCTGCTCTGGGTTCGCACCCTTTCCTCGTTCCTTGCAGGCACTCAGCAGGCGTCTGCAGCATCCAGAGCAGCCCCCATCGTGAGCATATCCTGGCCACGGGCAGGTGAGCCCCAGGTTTGTTCTCAGAGGCCCTTCGGCTGGCTCTGCCTTCTCTTGGTGGTCACTGGGGCCCAGAAAGGGAGTTGCCCCAGTGCGGGGCCTCCTCAGGAGATCCCCTCACTGGGCACTCTGACTTCAGCTATGATGAACATGTGCTGCTGTGGGACACCCGGAACATGCAGCAGCCCCTCGTGGACGTGCCCATGCAGGGCGGCGTGTGGAGACTCAAGTGGCACCCATCCCACCACCTGCTGTTGGCAGCCTGCATGCACGGCGGCTTCCAGATCCTCGACTGCCAGGGTGCCATTGGTGAGTGGGACTTCGTGGTTCCTGACCGTGGCTTGGCATGTGCTGCCCTTTTCCTGCACATCTTGCCAGGGCACTCCTGGACCTCACTGCCAGCCTCTTGTGCCTCTCCATGGGAACCCTGGATTTCTGCCCTTCTCTGACCTTCTTGGGCCACTGCTCCAGAACCTCGCTGCCTCCCACTTCCATCGCCACCTTGGGCCCTCGGCATGTTCCTCCTGTCCCAGTCCTCACACCCTGAGCAGGGCTGGCAGCATTGGTTCCGCCCTCACCTCTGAGTGCGGGGGAGCGCCTGCCTGCAGGTGGCCTGCCCACTTGGAGCTCATGCTCTTCATTCAGAACTCGCCGTTGGGTTGTCCCCCGAGCCTCTCTCCAGTAACCAGTAACCTCTTAGGGAAGCCGAGTGCACATGGTGGAGGGTGAGTGCGCCTTGTGGGAGGCAGCGTGCTGCCTTTTGCGTCAGGTTGCTCTGCTCTTCGATGCCCCTTGCACAGGCAACATCCATGGGCTTAGGACCTGGGGGAGGCTGGTTTCTGCTGGGCTCCCAGGGCACAGCTACTTACTTCCCGTCCAGGGTCTGTGTGTCAGTAACTTGCTACTTCTTTAGACAGACATTCAACCTGCCTATGATTTTTGGGAAATTGGAGGAGGGGAGGGTTTGGGGCCACACTCAGTGATGCCCAAGGGTTACTCTTGGCAGTGCTTGGAGGACCATTTGTGGTGCCAGGGATCAAACCTGGGCCAGCTATGTTTGATGCTGCACATGCCTGCCTGTATCATGGTCCCCAAGCACCACCTGGAGTAACCCTAGAACATCGCCAGGTGACATCGCCAGGTGTGATCCCCCAACAACAAACCCACAAAAAAGGATTCAAACTGGGGTCAACCACATGCAAGGTAAGACTCTTAACCCTGGTACTCTCTTCCAGTTCCTAAGCTGTGTATTTCAGGGGATGTGTGAGAAGCCAATTGTTTTTAAGAACACAAGGTGAGTGGTCGAAGTGCTACATCAAGTAAGGCCCTGGCCTTGCACACTGGCCAATCCAGATTTGATTCCCGGCATTCCATATGGTACTGAGAGTCCCAGGAGTGATCCCTGAGCACAGCCAGGAGTAAGCCCTTAAGCACCACCAGATGTAAGAAACAAAACATAAAAATTACAGTGGGAGACCGGAGAGTCCAGGAGGCCACTGGGATACCAGGATACAGGCAGGCGTGTGCAGCATCAAACGTAGCTGGCTCCTGATCAAGCTGCTTGATGACCATGATCCCAGAGACTCAGAAACATATCTCGAAACCCAGCGGATTTTGGCAGAAATGCATTCGGACTGTGCAATAGGTTACTGTCACCAGGCCACCCCAGCGGGGAAAGGGTGCTGTCCCTCCGCCTGCTCCCCCTAGGCGACTTGGTGGCTGCCATCATCCAGAGGCCATTGGACAGTCAGGTTTGGGCCCGCAGTGACAAGACACGTGGGGCCTCACGGGATGCAGGTGGAGCCGGCCCTTTCCTCCCCATTCCAACGAGATCCCCATTGTAATTTTTATGTTTTGTTTCTTGCTCACATCTGGTGGTGCTTAAGGGCTTACTCCTGGCTGTGCTCGGGGATCAAATCTGGATTGGCCAGTGCAAGGTCAGGGCCTTACTTGATGTACTACTTTGACCACTCACCTTGTGTTTTTACAAACAACTTGCCAATAAATAAATAAATAAATAAAAATAAAAACAATTGGCTTCTCACACATCCCCCGAAATACACAGCTTAGGAACTGGAGACAGAGTACCAGGGTTAAGGGTCTTGCCTTGCATGTGGTTGACCCCAGTTTGAATCCTTTTTTGGGTTTGTTCTTGGGAGATCACACCTGGCGATGTTCTGGGGTTACTCCTGGGGGTGCTTGGGGTGCTTGGATGCTGGTGATCAAACCTGGGTCAGCTGCGTGCAAGGCAAATGCCCTACTCACTGTACTATCGCTCCTATCCCCCAGTTTGAATCCTTGGCACCGCCAGAGCACAAAACTAGAAAAGATCCCAGAGCACTATTGGGTGTGACACAAATCCCCCCCACACACACAACAAAAAAATTCAGTGAGTAGGGGCTTTGTAGTGCTGGGCATCCGGTCTATGGGTTCCCATACTTTGAATTACACCTCAAGCTGCGAGAGCCATCTTACTGTAGGGCTTGGGCCCAACTCCTGCCGAGTGTGTGTGTGTGTTGTGTCTGTCTCTTACTGCAGGGCCCCCAGGCCTTTCGACCAGTCCTCAGAGGGTCTGTGTAGAACCTGTGACCACTGTGCACACAGAGCCTGCTGGAGCCTGCCGAGCACTACAGCATTTGACCCTGTGGATGCTTCTGTCCCTGTTCCTTTACTTACTCATCTCTCCTCCCATCAGTTGACGCCTTTGTATTTTGCTTTGGGTCTTGTTCTCTTGGCAGGGCATGTAGGGCCTCATTCTGTGGCTCCAGAGATATTCCTGGCCCCAGGGTCAGCTGCATGTAAGGCAAGCCTGTCTCCAGCTCCTGCTTTGAATTCAGGGTTGATGCTGTGCCACAGTGGGCTCAGTATGGTCCTGAGGAAATAGGGTAGCCCACACAGAAGACAAGCACCTCACCCCTCCCTCATACTCTGTCTTGTGAAATAGTGCCCTACCCACTGTCCTGCCTCTGACCCTGCTTTTTTTAATTTTTAATTTTGTTTTGGGGGCACACCCAGCTATGCCCTGGCTCTGTGCTCAGGAATTACTCCCGGGGATGCCTGGGGGACCACATGGGTTGCTGGGGATTGAACCTGGGGTTGGCCGCATGCAAGGCAAACACCCTACCTGCAGTACTATCACTCTGGCCCCTGACCCTGCTTTTTTTTTTTTTTTTCCCAAAAAAGACTGAACCAAACTTTTGCTGGTCCTCATCCTTGGAAAGGCTTCTTCCCCATGGTGGTTCTATCGCCTGGAATGACCATTCTCTCAGGACAGTGTTCTCTGCAAGGTGGAGATGTTTTCTGCTCAGCCTGGCCGTCCATCCTGAGGTGCCTCTAATGGGCTGAGCACACTGTGATGGTCCCCTGATGAGGCCCTAATCCCTCCTCATCACCCAAAGAGACATTTGCTGACAAATGAGCAGCTGCTCTGGGAAGGTTCTGGAGGCCACAGGCCAGAGTGGTGTAAGGAGCCCCAGGTAATGTGTTCTCATGTTCTGCCCCGTTGCAGGAGGGGAGGAGAAGCAAGTGCTGCCGTGTGTTTCTCACAAGTTGCCCAACTCCCTGGTGTATGGGGCCGACTGGTCCAGGCTCCACGCCCACCACCAGCTCCGGCCCAGCATGGTCACAGGTACCTCTGTCAGCAACACGGAGGTCACACCCCTTGTGCTCAACAAGATGGAGAGGATGTCAGTGACCAGCCACACCGATGCCACAGAAGCTGCTTCCCACACCAAGGAACTTCTGCAAACAGTCCAAGACAGGAAGAGCTGGGGGGGGCTGCAGGAGGCAGAGTCCAGGCTCTGTGACAGTGACCACTCTATGGACACAGAGCCCTTCGACAGCAACCTCCTGGCCACTTGCTCCTTTTATGACCATGTTCTTCACTTCTGGAAGTATGACAGCGGGGAAGCTTAGGCAACAGTTGCTAATAAAGGACCACGGGTGTGGACCCAAATCCTAGAGTATACTGTTGGGCTTCTAATCGATCTCGGCTTTTGTGGCCGCACTGCTTACTCCTGGCTCTAGGGTCCACGACAGCCGGGCCGGCGGCGTGCACAGCAAGCCTCCGGGCTGTCACACGAGAACGAGCCCGGGGGTCGTGTCTCACCGGGGACCGCTTAGGGATACACGTGGTGTGAGGAGCTCGGGGCCCACGCGACGCGGGGAATGAAACAGGGTGGGGCTGGCCGGGTGCGCCTGTGACGGGGCGTCGGGGCAGGAGCTCGCGCCAGCCCCTGTGCCTGGCACGGGGCGCACGGCGCCGAGCACAGGAGCCCCGGCCAGGGGCACCCGGCCCCCCGCCCCCGCCTGCCGCGCAGCAAGGACGGCACACCGGGGCTTGTCTCGGGCACAGCACGTTTATTTCGGGGCTGGGCGGCGGGGGCTCAGCGCGGGAAGTTCTTGGGGTACAGCTGGAAGAGCTTGCCCTCCTGCGCGGGCTCGAAGCCGTACTTGTCGAGGCGCACGGGGTCCAGCGTGCCGTCGCGGAAGTCCTTCTCGATGGCGGGCGCCGCCGTGTCGCGGAAGAGCCGCTCGGCCGTCAGGGGCGGCTCGTCGCCGGCCGGCGCGCGGTAGTTGACGTAGGGCCTGAGCCTGAAGCCGGTCAGCGTGGGCACCAGCAGCTCGGGCACCATGGCCGGCATCTGCACGAAGGCGCCGTCGCGGCCGCGCACGCCCGTGCCCTTGGCTCCGCGGCCCTTGTAGTGCGTGCGCGGGCCCCGCTTGCTAGTCCACCTGCTCATGCGGTCGGCGCCCCGCACCACCGCCCGGGCGGCCGCGCTCAGGATCCCCATGTCCGGTCCAGCCGCCCGCCGCTCGCGCGCCGCTACCCCGGCCTCCGCCGCGCCCGGTGCCCGCGCAGCAAAAGCCCGTCCGGTTGGCTGCGTCGCGCCCAATGGGCAGCCTTGGCCCTGAGAGGAGGCGGGACTAGAGGGTACCGGCCAATGGGCAGCTTGAGCGGCCGTGAGCGGAAGGAGGGAATGAGGCGCCGTTTGGTACGTAACATCCGGGACGCAGCTGTGCTGCGTAACGTCCGAGTGGGGCTGCCGGGGGCGGGGTTTCGGGAGCGCGGACGGCGGACCGGACGGACGTCAGGCGGGGCGGCGCGTCGGCGCGTCGGGAGCGCGGACGGCGGGGGCGGGCGGGGCGGCGTGGCGGGGGCGCGGACGGCGGGGGCGGGCGCGCGTTCCCGGAGAGGCCAGGCCTGTGCCCTGCGAGGTGCTGCTGCTTGGCGGGTCTGGGGCGCGCTGCCCGCGTCCGCAGCCTCAGCCTGGACACGCGCCGTGCGGTGAGCCGTCGGGGCCCTGCCAGTCCTGCGTCCTTGTCTTGAGACCAAACACGCTGGGCTCGTCCAACCTGCGACCCTCACCGCCACTCCGCTAGCCCTGTGACCCCCCACCCTGCAGCTCTCTGCTGCGACCTCTCTCCTTGACCTCTAACCTGCGGCCTTCGCCCCCTGCTAACCCACACCCGTCTCACGCTCTGGGTCTGGCCCTGGGAACGCCTCTAACGTCTCACGCTCGGGCCTCTCACCTGCCCCGGCTCTCCTGCGCTTCCCCGGACTCCGTCCCTCGGAATCTCCTTGCCTCGGCTAAGGAGTGACCTCTCACCCTGAGACCTCTGACCTCGTGACCCACGGAGCCTGCCCTCCTGGCGCCTCTGCGGGGGCAGGGGACCGCTGAGGGCCTTTCAAGAAAGGAGTGGCCCTGACCCACCTGTGGACTGTCATCCTGGAGACCCAGGGCGCACCCGGGTGCCGTCCACGACCCTGCTGGCGGCCCTGGTGGGACTGAGAGAGGAACCTCTCAGTGCGTCCTCCTGGGCCCTGCCTGCTCCGTGCCTGTCCCTGAACCAAGGCCCCCGGCATCCAGGGCCTTTGACCCCCCCCCCCCCCCGTTTCTCTCTGAAATGAACCCCCTTTGTGGAAATGACCTGGGGGGAGCCCCCTGAGAATCGTTAGTGAGGGGTGCTGGACACTCGGCTTGGTGCTCACTTTACTCTGTTCTGTTTCCAGCATGGAGCAAGAGAAGGATGACTGCCCGGAGGTAGGAGGCCAGCCCCACGACAGCTCTCCTAATAGTGCTCAGGCTCTGGGGGTCATATCCCGGACCTAGAGGGGTCCTGTTTGCTCTGCTGGGCAGCTCCGCCGCCCACTCAGTTGCGTGGAGCTCACAACAGGGCAGAGAGCTTGGTCTGCCTCTGTGAGACCACCCCCGCCCACGTGCCTGTCAGCACCTTAGCCGTACACCAGAGAGCTGACACACTGGGAGGCTGGCTCAGAGCCCAGGCTGCACCCAGTGTTCCTCTGAGTTTTGGGGGTAGGGTGGCCCCTGCAGTGCCAGCCGGTGTGGGGGAACAGGGGACTCTAGGCCCCTTAGGACAGTGTTTCTGGAGGTGAGGGGCTGGGGTGTGGGCAGAGAGCTTCACTTGGTCCCAAGGGGCCCTCCAGGGGCCGGAACCTCAGCAGAGCACTCACGGACAAGCCACCACTTGAGGCCTGTAGTGCTGGGACCCACACTGGCCTCTGCCCTTCCCCGCCCTGGAATGAAACAAACACACTTGTTCCCAGAGCCAGTTCTTTGCTTGGTTCAAGGCCAAAGGGGTCTCAGATCTCCTGTCTGGGGCCCTGTGCGGTGCCGGACAGCTGCTCAGTGTCCGTCTGAGATCTCAGCCAGGACTCTGCTCACGTGTGGGAGCTGTTCTGGGGACAGGGCAGGGCCCAGCACTGCACTTTGTGCACTGCGTGGTTGAATGGACCTGCAACCTGCTCCCCACGAGTACCCCCGGCCAGAGGACATGCTTTTGCCCCCCTTCATGCTCTGGATTTCTGAAGTCCCCAAATATTGGTGGCACCCATGGAACCTTCTCACTGGGTTTAGCTTGCCCAGTATCCTGAGACCCATCGGGTTTCTCTGGTCTCTGCACACACCCTCTGTCCAGGCCTGTTACGTGGACAGTGTTGGCACTGAGGCATGGGTTTGCGTACCAGGGCCAGCTGGGTTCGGAGTTCAGACTCAGAAGTGCTGATCACAGAGCTGTGCTCCAGTCTGGTTCAGCCATTCTGGGCATGTCCCTGATCTTTGGTGACCTATGTCCCCCTTTCAGGAAAATGGCTTCTTTTGTGCCCCCTTGGAAACTTCCCTTTCAGGGGCTGTTGGGCCACATTGGCAGTGCTCAGGGGACCATGAGTGGTGCTGCAGGCCCTCTTGGCAAGAGGTTCATCTTGTGCCCAGGGGAGCTGGTGGAGGTGATTTCCCAGAGGAGAGCTGGGCGTGTGCGCGGGGCTGGGTGCAGACCTCTGCTGCTCTTGGCTCTGCCCTCAGGCCGGCTTCTGTCTGGGCGCTCTCCTGCACTCCTGGATGTGGCGGTGGCTGGAGCAGCAGTCACAGTCCAGCATGGTAACTGCTCAGTGCCCGGGGGGCGGCGGGCCTGAGGGGGTGGCGGTACTCAGCTGGTCTCACCTGAACTGACGGCTGTCTCCTGCCCAGCTGACGGGGGTCCTTCTTGGCGCCCTTCTGGCCCTGATCCTGGTGGGCATTGTGGTCTTCTTCCTGCACCGGAGGCTGAAGCGGCTCCGTGAGTACCTGCTGAGCAGGGGCTAGCCCTGGAGGTGCTGTTGGCACCATGTCGGACATGGCCGCACAGGTGGGGACAGGACTGACTGGCCCTGCTTTGCACTGTCTGCAAGCTGGGGGCACATCCTGCTCGGCTCAGATGACCCCTGTGGTCTCCTTATAGGTCAAGTGCCGCCGACCCCTCAGTACAGGTTCCGGAAGAGAGACAAGGTCCTGTTCTACGGCCGGAAGATTATGAGGAAGGTGACTCTGCTGCAGTCAGTCCCTGGGGTGGCACAGTCGTCCCCACCCCGAGCCCCTCAGATCTCTCCGTGGCTCTGTCCTGGCCAAAGTCTCCAGACTTGTGGCAGCTGTGGAGACCAAAGCTCCCCAGCCTCAGAGGTGGAGGGAAAGGGCCAGGCCTTTTCCCGTGTCCCTTGGAGTGGCTCAGCACACACGTGGGCACAGGTGGCCTTCCCAGGACTGCGCTGAGACCCCCCCTTCTCAGTGTTGAGCCCCTGATGGGAAGGCTGAGCAGGGAGGCCCCCAGAATCTGGAGTGGGTGAGGTTGGTGGTGGCCAGCAGGGGCTATCCGCTATGCCCCGAGGGCCGTATTGTTGGCCTACTGGATCTGGGCCGAGGAGAGCAGGAGCCTGGTCCTGTGGGCTGGGCCACCTGGAGAGGGAAGGAAGCATGACCTTCAGGAGCCCAAGGTTGGCAGGACGTGGCTGCCCCTGGCTCTGCCCAGGGAGGGCCATGCTTACTGCTCTACCACAGTGGTCTGGACTGAGGAGTGGAGAACCTTCCAGTCCCAGGGCAGCCTGGGCGGAGCTCATGCGCCCGCCCGGGCATCAAGCCAGGGAACTCGGCAGGGTGCAGCTGCCAGGGCCTGACTCGGGTGGTCCAAGCGGCTGAGCTGGAACCGTTTGGTCAGAGCCATTGTTTTCCCTGCTTTGCAGGTGACCACACTCCCCCACACACTCGTGGGGAACACAGTGCCCCCCCGGCAGCGGGCCAGGAAGAGGACCAAGGTGCTGTCTCTGGCCAAGAGGTACTTGGAGCCCTTACAGCCACCCTCCCATGGGTGCTGGTCTGCAGGACCCTGCTCATACCCCACGGCTGTTTCCCTGCAGGATTCTCCGCTTCAAGAAGGAGTACCCCACGCTGCAGCCCAAGGAGCCCCCACCATCCCTGCTGGAGGCCGACCTCACAGAGTTTGACGTAAAGAGCTCTCACCTGCCCTCGGAGGTTCTCTACATGCTGAAGAACGTGCGGTAGGAGTGCCTCCCGGGGCTGCTGGGGCTGTGTTTACCCAGCAGCCCTGCCCAGCCATGACCAGCCCTCTGGGTTTCTAGGGTCCTGGGTCACTTCGAGAAGCCGCTGTTCCTGGAACTCTGCAAACACATGGTCTTCATGCAGCTCCTCGAGGGGGAGCATGTCTTCCGGCCCGGGGAGCCGGACACCAGCATCTACGTGGTGCAGGACGGGAGGCTGGAGGTGTGCATCCAGGACACGGTACGCACCTGTCCTGGGCCAGGAGTCAGCATGGAGTGCAGGCTCAGCCCCACCCCGCCTGCTCCCCTGGCACTGCCAGGAGCACTGACCAGGGAGCAGTCCAGCACCTCTGAATGAGACCCAAAAGTGAGGGGAAAAGGGTTGTTCAGGAAGGATGTATGTGTGCAAGTGTGTGCACAGGTGTGCATGTGAGTGTGTGCCGTGAGTATGCAAAAGAGTGTGCTTGAGTGAGCAAGTGTTTGTGCTTGGTAATGTACGTGTATACCTGGGCCTGTGTGTGTGCCAGGATGAGAAAGTGCATGCAGATGTGTGTGCAACTGTGAGTTTGAGTGCCTGCGAGTGTGTGATTGTGTGCATGCAAGTAAATACATGTGTGAGTGTATATGTAAGTTTGAGTGTGAGTGCGAGTACAAATGTGTGTGAATGCATGTGAGTGCAAGGGTGAGCGAGCATGTTGGTGTGCGCAGGTGAGTGCATATCTTGTGTTAGTGTGCGAACATATGAGAACAAGCACGTGTCTGAGTAGGAGTGTGTGAGTATGTATTTGAGTGTGAGTGCCAGTGTATATGAGTGATTTTGAGTGCCAGTGTGTGAATGTGAGGATGTGTGTGAGTACGTGTGTGAATAAGAGCATGTGTGTGCATGTGTGTTTGAGTGCAAGCCTGAGTGTGAACGTGTGTGTGAGAGTATGTGTGTGTTTGTGGGTGTGAGTGTGTGTGTGGTGGTGCAAGCCTGTGTGCACTTGTGTGTGTGAGTGTGAGCATGTATATTTGAGCTTGAGTGTGTTTGAGTGTGAACATGTGTGTGAGTGTGAGCATGTGTTTGAGTGTGTTTGTGAGTGCGTGTCTCCTGCGAGAGCCGGTGAGAGGGCGGGCCTGCAGAGCCTCTCAGCTGTGGCTGCTCCCCAGCAGGACGGCCCTGAGATGGTGGTGAAAGAGGTCCTTCCCGGAGACAGCGTCCACAGCCTTCTCAGCATCCTCGATGTCATCACGGTGAGCCCCCACGTGCAGGTGGTGGGGTGAGGTGCAGGACCTCTGTCCCAGACAGCTCGCACCACACAGGTCCTTCCTACCCCGCACCGGAAAAGCCCTCTGGGTCTTGTGTGCCACTGTAGGCCTAGCGGGTGTTCCCAATGAGTTCCCGCTGGTGCCGGGTGGGAGTCTGGATCAGACTTGGATTTGGGGTTTTGGCTTTGGGGCCGAGCCCTCTCTCCCAGGCCTGGCTTGGCGCATTGAAGGACCAGGTGCCTGTGGAGACTGGCGGGTGCAGGCAGCGGGGTGGGCTGGTGCCTTGGAGCCTTTGGCCTCCTCTACCCCCTTCCTCTGCTGCCAACTCCAGCAGCTCCATCCGCCCGAGCTCCTCGTTCCAGCCAGCAGCCCATCAGAAAGCAAGTCTATGTGTTTCTTTGCTTCTTTGGCACTCACAGCTCAGTGCTTTGGGCCAGTCCTGGTAGTACCTGGGGGGCTGTGCAGGTCTCAGGGTCGGACCCGGCCTCCTGCATGCCCGGCCTGTGCTCTCCCTCTGCAGCCCCACTTCCTCTGCTTACTAAGCCAGTGCTCCACATGCACAAGTGCTCCCGGGCACATTTCTGGCCCTGTTTGGAGCTTGATCCCCGTGGTGCTCAGGGAGCCCCAGGCACCCCATGGCCTGGTGCGATGGCATACGGCCTGGCATCTGGACCAGACTGGCAGATCAGTGTTGGGCCCTAGGATGTGGGACTCCTGGGCGTCTGTGGTGTCGAGGACCCCCGGGTCTGTCTAGGGAAATGGTCATGCCTGGGATGGGACCGGGGTCGGCTGCATGCAGGAAAGCCCTCCCCGACACCTCACCTGGGCAAACGTGTGCGTCTCCTGGCTGCTTGCCTCCACAGGGATCAGAGCGGGGCCCAGCGCGGGCAGCGCCTGATCGTGCGGCCACCCCCCGTCCTGGTCCTGTTCTCAGCTGGGCTGCTTGTGCTGTGGGTGTGTTGCAGTTGGCCTTAGTGTCTCGAGGCAGAGCGCTCCTGGTTCCTGAGGGATCAGAGGAAGCTCAGGGCACTGGCAGTGCCCGGACGCTCCGAGGGGCAGGCTCTGGGGAGGCCACGTGAGGGGTGTTTTTGGAATATAGCTCTCAATATTACAGGGGGTCACCACATGCTCTGCCGTGAGCTACTCTCAGTTGGGCACAGCGGGGCTGTTGTGGACGGCTCTCCACCCTCTCCCATGTGGCTGAGCAGAGCTCAGACAGTTTCTGTACGCTGTGGGGAGCCAAGGGGAACATGGCCAAAGTGAGTACCTGGTCTGGGGATGGAGCCAGGGTGTGACCAGGAAGACAGGACCGGGGGACCCTTGGTAGGTCACTTCCCGGACTAACAGCTCTCTCTCCGTCCCCCCCATCCTCCTCTCCCCACCCCTCCCCTTCCCCTTTGTCCCCCTCTCTCCCGTCCCTCTCCCTCTGTCTCCTGACCCCCACCCCGGCCCCTTCGTGGCTGCAGGATCACACGGCCCCCTACAAGACGGTGTCCGCCCGGGCCGCTGTGCCCTCCACGGTGCTGCGCCTCCCTGCTGTGGCCCTCCAGGGCGTGTTTGACAAGTGCCCAGAGACCCTGGTGCGGGTGGTGCAGGTGGGTTCACTGCCCGGGCGGCCATGTCCTGCAGCGCTGGCCCTCCCGACGGGTGGGTTTTGGGGTACTTTTGTGTTTGCCGGGCCCCGTAGCGTGCGTGTGCTCGGCCTCCTCTCCTGGAGGGTCAGCAGCTCCCACGATCTCACGCCGTCTTGGGCCATGGGGCTGCTGTCCCTCCAGATCATCATGGTGCGACTGCAGAGGGTCACCTTCCTGGCCCTGCACAACTACTTGGGCCTGACCACGGAGCTCTTCAACCCTGTGAGTGCTGGGCCCTGTGGGGAGGCCTCTGTTTTCCCCTTTGGGTCCCCAGGATGGTGGGCGGATGGGGCCTGACTGGAGAGCCGGAGGCACTAGCCCCGTGTCCTCCAGGAGAGCCAGGCCATCCCCCTCGTGTCTGTGGCCAGCGTTGCTGCTGGGAAGGCCAAGAGGCGGTCACTGTGTGTTCCTGACGAGCGGCCCCCTGGGCCCGGAGACCCAGGTACAGCCCCCACCAGCCACTGACTACCCTGCCCAGGAAATGCCCTCCTTCAGGGTCCCCTGCTACACTGACCCCGACCACACTGTCCCCTGACCACACTGCCCCCCAGTCACACTGTCCCCTGACCACACTTCCCTCTGACTACACTGTCCCCCCAACCACACTCTCCCCCGACCACACCGCCCCCTGACTACACCACCCCCTGATCATAATACCTTCTGACCACACTGTCCCCATGATCCCTCCAAACTTTCTACCCTTAGCCTCCCACAATCCTCCCTGACCCCCCAACTACACTGTCCCTGAGATCCCCCCATCCCTCCCCTGACCTCACAGTCCCATTGCCCCCCAACCACATGCCCCCCCCCCACACCTGCAAACATGGAAATAAACTGTCTCCTGGGAAGGAGTACTGAGTGGTGACTGGGCAGGAGGCAGGGTCACAAGAACTCGGGGGCCCCCACCTGGCTCATCAGCAAGCTCACAGGGAGCCCCAGAGTCCTCTGCTCTCCATGTCCTGTGTCTGTGTCTCCCAGAACATGGCTGGATGCAGGGCCGAGAAAGCACCTGAACAACCCAGGTTCTTTTTTTTTTTTTTTGCTTTTTGGATCACACCCAGCAACGAACGCTCAGGGGTTACTCCTGGCTCTGCACTCAGGAATTACTCCTGGCGGTACTTGGGGGACTATATGGGATGCTGGGAATCGAACCTGGGTCGGACGTGTGCAAGGCAAACGCCCTACCCGCTGTGCTATTGCTCCAGCCCCACAACCCAGGTTCAGTCTCAGGTGCTGCATGAGTGAAACCAGGAGTGAGCCCTGAGCACTGCCAGGTGTGGCCCCGAAATGAAAATAGGTAAATAGCCAGTACATAGATAAATAAGCAGATGAGCGAATAGGTCCTCCATCCATAAGTGCACAGGTAGCAGACAGGTGAATGGGTAAGTGGGTAAGCCACTAAGGAGGGCCCAGGGGCCCCCAGAGCTGATGCAGGTTTGTTGCCCTGGCAGCACCCAGCACCCCAGGTGTGGCTCTGAGAGTCCACTGCCCTTTCCTAAGGGTATCTCTCCCCCTCTGCAGACCGAGGAGCCAGCCATGCAATGGCCAGTGGACCTCTGCTGAGGAGAAGCCACTCTGTCCCACTGCCCGCTGCCCACGAAGAGGTCTCAGACGAGCTCACCAGTGCCCAGGCAGGCGACCAGGGCCCTTCAGCCCCACCAAGTAAAGGCACCCCTGATGCTCCCTGGCTCTGAGTGTTGGTGGGTGGGTGCCAGGCTGTTTCTGCTCCTTGTGGTGGTCCCCGGGCAGCCTGAGGGGTGCGAGGGCTCTGTAGTGTTTGCACGGAAAGTGCCTGTAGCCTGGGCATGTGTGCCCGGTGCCACAGGGATGCAGGAGGCTCTACCAAGGCTCCCGAGCACGTCCATGTCGGCCGGAGCGGCCTCATGTCGCTGTTTGCAGGGTGTGCAGCAGGAACCCCCTCCAACCCTAGTGGCACATGTGACCGAGCCACTGTGCACCTTAGCCCTGAGGAGCGGCACGACAGCACCACACTCAGCAAGGTAGGCCTGTGCACAAGGTCCCGTGCTGCGGCCAGCTTCCTGTAGGCTGCTGACGGGGCTCCCGTGTCCTTCAGTCCAGGAAGAACGTGACGGTCACCGAGACACCCTCTGCAGTCTTCCACTACGCAGAGAGCGATGTGGACGAGCCTGTGGCCAGCAAGAAGACGGATGCCATCCTCAAAGCGGCCAAGAAGGACCTGCTCACTCTGATGGAGCTGGATGTGAGTGGGCTCCTGCTGCCTGCAGTGGGCACATTCCCAGACTTCTCCAGGCTCCTGGGACAGTGGCAGCACCCTGACTAACCTGTGATGGACAAGCGGGAGCCTGAGACCAGCGGAGCCCCTCCAAGCACCTGCATGGGCTTGTGTGTCCTGCTCCAGCTGTGTGCCCGTGTCCACGTGATCTGCTCTCCCTGCATGTGTCCACACTCTGCTGTGCTGCTTCTCTGTGAGCGTAGTGCTATTGAGGTGGTCCACTCACTGGGCCCTTGGTGCTGCCACCTCCTCAGACCTGGTCTCAGTGTGTCATCTCCTCAGACCTGGTCTCCGTGCTGTTGTCTCTTCACACCTGGTCTCAGTGTTACCTCCTCAGACAAGGTCTCAGTGTGTCATCTCCTCACACCTGGTCTCAATGTGTCATCTCCTCACACCTGGTGCCAGTGCTGTTGTCTCTTCACACCTGTTCTCAGTGTGTCTCCTCAGACCTCGTTTCAGTACTGTCGTCTCTTCACACCTGGTCACAGTGTGTCATCACCTCAGACCAGGTTTCAGTGTGTCACCTCCTCACACCTGGTCTCAGTGTGTCATCTCCTCAGGCCTGGTGTCAGTGCTGTTACCTTTCTCAGAATTGGTCTCAGTGTTGTCACCACCTCTCACCTGGTCTCACCTCCCGGTGCCTGCTCACTCATGTTGCTGTGGACTCAGAGGCTGTGGGCTTGGACCTCCTGCACCCCGACTCCCTGCTGCACTCTTGCCCCTGCCTCACACTTTGTCTCTCCCTTCTGAACTGCACTGTGAAGGCTCTGGCCTTCCCTGTGTTCCCTCTGCTTTGGGGGCTGCTCTCCTCTGTCCTTTTTACTGAAGATCCCTTTGAGGGGGCTGGGTGAGAATGCAGGCTCAGGGGTGCAGGCTGGTGTATGCGTGCATCCTCAGCACTGCAGGTCCCTGTCAGCGTGTCATTCAGCCACGTGACAGTTGCCATCAGTCTTAGCTCTGTTGGGGGTCAGGAGTGCTCCCTGCTTGTCACTCACCTGCTCCCTGGCACTGAGCATGGGAAATGGGACGGTTCTTGGGGGTTCAGAATGGGATTGTTCTGCAGATGGTCTGGCCTCAACTGTGGACAGGGCTGTGCTCTGGTCACTTGAGTCCCCATGGGAAGGGGCTGAGCTCGGTCCAGAGGCAAAGTGGCTGTCAGACCCCACAGTGTTCTGGGGTGCAGGAAAAGGTTTTCAGCAGGACTGGGGTCAGGCAGGAACTGCGGCTCACACTACCCCACCCACCCCTGTGCTGTCTCCACATCCAAGCTCACGGTTCTGTCCTGCCATGGGAGATGGACACGCCCTGTCCTTCTGACCATTCTCAAAGGTCCTCATCCCAAGCAGTGCTTTGCTATGCCAGTTTCCCTCTGGGGACAGATGGGTGACTCTCACAGAGCCTCTGCTGCTGACTCCTGTGTGTCTGTCCTCAGGACCCCTCACTGCTGGATGGCCGGGTGACCCTCCTCCATGTCCCTGGGGGCACAGTAGTGTCAAGGCAGGGCGACCAGGTGAGCTGTGGCTGTCCGTGGGAGCTGGTGAAGGTGTTTGTGCCCTTGAGACCACCCTGCCCCCCCACACAGGGTCTCTCTGACCGAGCACTACCTTGGACCCTGTAAGGCTCAGGTTCTTGCCCTGCACGGCAACGTCACCTCCAGGCAACATATTCTGTCACACTGTCCCCAGAAAGGGCCTTTGGTTCCCGAGGAAGCAGGATGCCAGGGACTCATGAGTCCCAGCACGTACTTGATCTCCCATTTGGGAAAAGCCTGGGCGTCAGCATTGGGCTGTCCTGTCCTGCTGTCCTCTCTGTTCCCTTCCGTCCAGAGCCCTCTGCAGTGCTGAGGTGCAGAAGGCCCTTTGTGGGCGGGACCAGGGCCAAGGACTGGTGCCTAGCCCAGCTCTGAGTCTGTCATGCGTCTCTGCCCTGCTCCTGAGGCAGCGGTGGGGAGGCCACAGGAGGGACCCAGACAGCCTGGGAAGGGACAGTCTGCCAGGTTGCAGCCCCCCAGAGCTGCCTGGTGGCCGCCTGAGCCCTGACTCTGTCAGGATGTGAACATCCTCTTCGTGGTGTCGGGGCTGCTGCACGTGTACCAGCGCAAGATCGACAGCAGGGAAGACACCTGCCTGTTCGTCACGCGCCCTGGGGAGCTGGTGGGCCAGCTGGCCGTCCTCACGGGGGAGCCCCTCATCTTCACCATCAAGGCCAACCGAGACTGCAGCTTCCTGTCCATCTCCAAGGCTCACTTCTATGAGTGAGTTTGCGTGGCTCAGCTTGGACCGGAGTCAGGGAGGCCGGGGCAAGTCCTCAGAAGGGCTGGACAGAGCTTGGGGATCAGGATTCCTGGTTCCACCTGGCTCCTCCCTGAGAGCCGCTGGAAGCTGGCCCTAGGCAGTCCACAGCTATAGCTCCCTGCTGACCAGGGGCAGCTCACTACTGCCACGCTGTCCACTTCCTCCACCGACTGTCCTGGAAGGGAGACTGGTGACAGGAGGGCACTGTCAGTGACCCAGGGCTGCCCACAGGATCATGAGGAAGCAGCCGAGTGTGGTCCTGGCTGTGGCACACACAGTGGTGAAGCGAATGTCATCCTTCATGCGGCAGATGGACTTTGCACTGGACTGGATGGAGGTGGAGGCTGGACGCGCTGTGTACAGGTGAGACCCTGTCGTTGCAGAGCAGGCTTGCCCCACACACGCCTGCACACCAGGCTCTGGTCAGTGGCCCTGCAAGGCCATAGGACAGTTCTTGGGCTTGTCACCGTGGTCATGGTCCCTGAATGACAGTGTCCACATGGCCATACCCAGGGACCTGTGTCCTCATGGCCTGTGTCCCTGTGACCTCTGTCCCTGTGAACTGTGTTCCTCTGTCTCTGTGGACTGTGTCCCTGTGACCTCTGTCCCTATGGACTGTGTTCCTCTGTCCCTGTGGACTGTGTCCCTGTGGACTGTGTCCCTCTGTCCCTATGGACTGTGTCCCTGTGGCCTCTGTCCCTGTGGGCTGTGTTCCTCTGTCTCTGTGGACTGTGTCCCTCTGTCCCTGTGGACTGTGTCCCTGTGGCCTCTGTCCCTGTGGGCTGTGTTCCTCTGTCTCTGTGAACTGTGTCCCTCTGTCCCTGTGGACTGTGTCCCTGTGGCCTCTGTCCCTGTGGACTGTGTCCCTGTGGCCTCTGTCCCTATGGACTGTGTCCCTCTGTCCCTGTGGATTGTGTCCCTCTGTCCCTGTGGACTGTGTCCCTGTGGCCTCTGTCCCTGTGGACTGTGTTCCTCTGTCTCTGTGGACTGTGTCCCTCTGTCCCTGTGGACTGTGTCCCTGTGGCCTCTGTCCCTATGGACTGTGTCCCTCTGTCCCTGTGGATTGTGTCCCTCTGTCCCTGTGGACTGTGTCCCTGTGGCCTCTGTCCCTGTGGACTGTGTTCCTCTGTCTCTGTGGACTGTATCCCTCTGTCCCTGTGGACTGTGTCCCTGTGGCCTCTGTCCCTGTGGACTGTGTTCCTCTGTCTCTGTGAACTGTGTCCCTCTGTCCCTATGGACTGTGTTCCTCTGTCCCTGTGGACTGTGTCCCTGTGGATTGTGTCCCTCTGTCCCTGTGGACTGTGTCCCTGTGGCCTCTGTCCCTGTGGACTGTGTCCCTGTGGCCTCTGTCCCTGTGGACTGTGTTCCTCTGTCTCTGTGGACTGTGTCCCTCTGTCCCTGTGGACTGTGTCCCTGTGGCCTCTGTCCCTATGGACTGTGTCCCTCTGTCCCGTGGATTGTGTCCCTCTGTCCCTGTGTACTGTGTCCCTGTGGCCTCTGTCTCTATGGACTGTGTCCCTCTGTCCCTGTGGACTGTGTCCCAGTGGACTATGTCCCTGTGTTGGGTCTCTGTGGCCTATATCTGTATCCCTGTATTCCACACATGAGCACATTCATCTTTAACAGGAGGTGCCTTTTTCCCCCCCTTTTGGGTGACATACGCAATGCTCAGAGGTCACTCCTGGCTCTGCACTCAGGAATTACTCCTGGTGGTGCTCGGGAGACCACCTGGGATGCTGGGGATTGAACTCGGGTCGGCCGTGTGCAAGTACATCTTCCCCGCTGTACTATGGCTCCGGCCTGACAGGAAGTATCTTCTGGTCGCCTGAGGCCTGGGCTGTTGGGAAGCTGGTCTGGGGTCTGAGAGTCCCCGGTGGGCCAAGGCTGGGTGCCCAGTGTTGTACCTGTGCCCGCAGGCAGGGGGACAAGTCAGACTGCACATACATCGTCCTCAGTGGCCGACTGCGCTCGGTGATCCGGAAGGAGGATGGCAAAAAGCGCCTGGCCGGGGAGTATGGCCGTGGTGACCTCATTGGAGTGGTGGGTCCCCCCCGCCCCTGGGTGCCCTATGGCTCTGACCCAGTGTTTTTGTCTGTGCTACTGCATGGGCTAGAAGCTGAATTGCCCCCAGCCAATCAAGAAGAGGAGCAGCTGTGCATCTCTTTTGGTCTGGGCCACTGCCCGCCGCGGGTACCATGGGTCATTGTCCATGAGGTGGTGGCCCCGGGGGACTCCGGCTGCTCTTGCACAGGTGGAGACGCTCACCCAGCAGGCCCGAGCCACCACCGTGCATGCTGTGCGGGACTCAGAGCTGGCCAAGCTGCCCGCGGGAGCACTGACGTCCATCAAGCGCAGGTACCCTCAGGTGAGACTTTGCCCAAACCTGGGTCGGGGAGGGGGGTGCAGGCACCAGCTGCTCCTTTAGGCATCAGCATGTTCGTCCAGCGCCCAGTGTGGGGCCTCTATGCAGTGGGCGGAGCCCTTGGCCTGAGTACTTAGTACTGTGCATGGGCCCAGACCGGGTGTTCCCTGTGGACTATGTCCCTGTGTTGGGTCCGCAGGAGCAGCGGGCACAAGCTCTGCACCCTGTGGATGACCTGGCTTCTCTCTGGTGGTCTCCTGAGCACCTTAACTCTGTGGTGTCTGGGGGGGCTGACCCTGGCTTTGCGCCACCTGCCACTACTGTACCTGGTGCTGTAGCAGGTGGCACTGCCGCCCCATGCTGTGCCACACCCATCCCCTGTCTGTGACGCTGCTGTACCTGGCATGTGTGCTGCATTAGCTGGCACTGTGCATGGGCAGTGGGTTTTTGAGTTTCAGGGAAGGGGCCTCTGACTTTGGACCCAGCAGCCATGCTGCTGCCGACCCTCTCTTGGGTACCAGCCATCCTGCCAGGCTGTGCCCATCACCGGCAACCTTCTCTTAGTGCAGAGCTTGCCTGCTTCCTTCTCCTGGGTGATGCTTCTGGTTGTAGGGATGCGGCTTCTGGGTGCAGGGTGTGTGCCCGAGGGGTTGAGTGCCAGCTACACCCTCGGGACAGGATGGTGGGGTGGGCTCAGCAGGCCCCACACGTGTGTGTGACACTTACTGATTATTGTCTTGGTTTTGGGCCACTTCCAGCAGTGCTCAGATCTTAGCAGTCGCACCTGTGCGCTCAGGGCTGAAGGGGCAGGGCCCAGGGGCCATATGTGGTGCCAGGTCTGACCTGAGTCACCCATGTATCAGCCAGGGGCCCTCCCCTCTGTACTCTCTGCAGCCCCCTGTGGCACTGCACTTTCTCACCCACGTGGTTAAGCTGTTTTCCCACCCCGGATGGCTGATGGCAATGGATGTAAGAAGGAGAAAACAGGCCAGGCTGGTTGGTGATCAGTTGTGGTTTATTCTGATCTCTGTCCCGCTGTTTATTCCGTTCTCCCCACGTGCCTGTTGCAGTCTCACACTGCCCCTCATTCCTGTCTCCTACTTCCCCCAGGCTAGTCTCCCTGCACTAGCCTTCGTAACTCGAAGCCTAGTCTAAAACCAGCCTCCGAGCACTGGGGGTAGTAGCTACACCTGTGTCAGATAGCACAATCGACACGCAAAGCCCTTCCCTTCCTTCCAGGGAAGCTCTTCTAAGACACAGATCTCCTGCTAGGAGATCTGCTCAAGGGCCAGATTTCATCTAAGGACACACTTCTCCTTTCCTTAGTCCCTAAACAATCATCTCAGATGTACTTCTTAATAATTCTTCTGGTCATTTTGTATGGAGAGAGTAAGAGATAAGGGGTGGCTCTCCTGGGGACATCTCGCTTGAGATCCCAGACTATAGTTCTCAGGCCAGATTAGTCCTTCCTAACCGGAACTGGGTCCTTGTCTAGTCACTTTTCTTTGGGTCATAACAGAATTTGACCATGACCATGCTCTTTAATTTATTCGAAGTTTTACGTCAACTGTCCCATTTCAATGCCAGGATAGCTTACAGCTTGCCCTGGGTTCATCCAGTCTCTTCGTTGGAACCCTACTTTGGGGTGCTGGGAACTAAGGACAACTGAGGCTTAAGATGAGTGAATATGACAGATGCCCAGGAGTAAATACTACTCAGAGTCAATTAACTCCCAGGTTACAAAAGCGTAACATTAACTGTCTTCCTGTGTCTACACAAGAATTGCTCTAAAGTAAACTATGCAAATTACGTAAGAAAAAGAGAAAAGCAATATTTCTCTTACAAATACAAATCCAGAGATCTCTGAAGAATTTGACTTTACAAGTCACAGGTACTTCTTAAGGACAATGGTGCTTTTAGTGGAAGCAGAGCACAGAGAAGAGGTTGAAGATAAACACAGAGGAGTGCCTTGGGAGCACTGTGATGGGTGTAACCTAATAAACCTAAATTCCCTCTGGCAAGGGAGAAAGGACAAACCAATGTTATCCTACAGCCCACCACATGTGGGTTTTACTTGGAGGTCACACCTGGCAGTTCTCAGGGCTTCCTCCTGGCTCTGTGCTCAGGGATCACTTCTGGCCAGCTTGGGAGACCTTCAGATGGCTGGAGATGGCCGTCCTATCTCCCATCAGTTCACGGTGCAATGGGCAATTAGGCTCTGAGTACCATCTCCCAGCTTCCCTTTTTTCCCATTGATGTTCTCAGTTCTGTGAACACTTGGCTCACACGAAGGTTTGCCTCACACCCCCAGACTCAATCAGCTTTGTTGCATCTCCTCAGGGGTTTGGCTACAACCTTGCATGGCTGAGGGTCTCAGTGTGCTGGTTGAGCGGGGCCCCTGGCCATGGCTGCAGAGGACACCCCTGTCCCTTCCTTTGCGTGAGGCGTGCAACCCACGCTCAGTGAGGGATTGCAGTGCAGACTGAGGTGCAGCTGATAGGGGGCGTCCTCTGGGAGCTCTGAGACCTGGGTACTGCGTGAACCTCCAGAAGTTTCGGTGTGATGGAATCAGAGCTAAGCAGACACAGCTTCTCTGCAGCATATGCTCTGGTTGGCCTCAGCAAGTAGGAAGCACCCAGCTCACTCGGCTTCCAATGGAAGCTCCAGCAATAACACAGCTTGTTACATTCCACCTTGACTGGGGGTCTCTGGTCTGGAACAGCAGTGTCGGACCCACAACTGCATCCTTGTTCCAGAACCTACGTGAGGCCCAGGCTGAGCCTTCCTCACTGCCCTGAGCTAGTGACCTGAAGGTGGGGTGTGGGAAGGGGCCCAGCAGTTGGACTGCTGTGTTGGCAGGTACAGGGGACAGTGGGAATGGGACCCGAGGGACGTCTCACCTGTTTGGTTAAAGGTGAGGTTTGCTGGGCCAGAGACCTCGTCAGCAGGTAGGGTGCTCACCTTGCATGTGGCCCAGCCACCAGGACTCACCCCTGAGCACCGCTGCATGTGACTGCAAAATGAAACAAAAGACCCTAAAATTTGAAGGTGAGGTTTGGGGTCTTTGCTCTTCTCTGCACAGGTTGTGACTCGCCTCATCCATCTGTTGGGTGAAAAGATCCTGGGAAGCCTCCAGCAGGGTCCTGGCACAGGTACGTCGTAGGGCCTACATACCACTCACCTGCCACAGCCAGAGGCAAGCTCCGTGAATGAGGCAGCGGGCAGCCCTCCAGGGCCCCTCAGAGAGGGACTGGGGCAGGGAAAGAGCGGCCACTTGCCTTCCGCCGGCTTCGCTCACCCCGGCCGACCCTTCACTCGCCACTTCACTCAGGCCTTCACTCGCCACTTGGCCGACTATGAGGTTGTGTCTGCGTCTGTGGCTGTGTGTGTCTGTGTGTCTGCCTCTGCGTCGTGTCTGTCTGTGTGTCGGTGTCTGTGTCAGTGTGTGTCTGTGTCTTTCTGTGTCTCTGTGTCCTGTTGCAGGGCTGTGTCTGTGTGTGCATCTATGTGTGTCTGTTTTGCCAAAGTGGCGCTGTTTCTGTGGGTCTGCATCTGCGTCCGTCTGTCCTACTGCTGCGGGCTGCATCGGTGAGCAGGAGCTGTGACCGTAGCAGGGGCTGACCCACCTGTGGTGGCTGCCTGGGGTCCAGCTGACTTCCCGGGCTGTGACCCCGCCCAGAGGGTGGCCACACAGCACCTCTGCCATTTGCCTCCTCCCTAGATCTGTCATCTTCCCTTTCATGTCCTGCTGACATGGGCTGAGTGGGGGACAGGCTGTCCTCATAGCACCCAAGCTGCAGCCAGCCTGTGTCTATGCCAGCAGGTCACCAGTTTGGACTCCACGCCACAAGCAGCAAGTGGGACTCGGGGAACCCGGCCAGCAATCTGTCCACGGTGGCCGTGATGCCCGTGTCCGAGGACGTGCCCCTCATGGCCTTCGCCCTAGAGCTGCAGCATGCCCTCAATGCCATCGGTAAGTGGGGGTGCCGAGAACCCTGGGCCTTCAGGGGGAGCTGCTGTCCACGGCTGTGCCCTTGGGCGCAGGCCCACATTTCTTCAGAATTTGCTTGGGAAGCTCCGAGCTGAGAGTTGGGGCTGGGAAACTTCCGTTTTCCGTGGTGGCTTTACTCCTTCAGAGTTTGTCCCGATGGGGGCTGGAGCAATAGCACTGTGGGGAGGGCACTTGCCTTGCACACAGTCGACCAGGTTTGATCCTTGGCACCCCATATGGTCCCCTGGGCCCTGTCAGGAGTGATCCCTGAGTGCAGAGCCAGGAAGAAGCCCTGAGGATCTCTGGGTGTGACCAAAACAAAACAATAAATGAAGAACATTTTGTTCTGGAGACATCGGATACCGGATCAGTGCCGAAAGCAGCACGAGCTGTGCTGGAGACCGTGTGGGGGACGTGCCCGGGGGGTGCAGGGCGCAGGCGCCTCTGGCTGCTGCATCAGACTCCACTCTGGGTGCAGCTGGGCCTTCGCCCTCGTGGCAGCCTCCTGCCTGCTCAAGGGGGTGCCAGGCATCGGGGGCATCTGCAGAGCCACTGCCAAGTGCCCCTCGCCCGCAGCCCCTCCTGATGGCCAGCAGCCCTCTTGGGGGCCACTTTGCCTGTGGATGTCCTATTGCTTCATCCCTCATGCGGGCAGCTCTGGTGGCCTTCGTCCCACCACCCCATCCTGCCCTGTGTCTGTCTGTCCTGCCAACAGTGCTTGGCCTCCTCTCATATATGGGGACCGCCCTGTGTTCTCAGTGTTCCGTTCTCTCTGCTGGGGTGAGCTCTCCTGGGCTCTCCGCACGGCGGCGCATTGACTGCTGGCACAGATGGTTCCTCTTTCGTCTCCACTCTCGCTGGGCTGCTGCTCTGGCCCACGTGCGCAGAGCCAGGCTGGCGCCTGCGGCCTCCTCAGCCCGCTCGAACATGCTGGGCTTGGGCCCCTCCAGGTGTTCTTGGGGGTGGGGGCAGCACCCCGAGTCGGAGCGGCCCTGTGGGCATCCTCCCCTCCCCCTCTCCCGCCTCCTTTTGCAGTTGCCCATGTGTGGTGGTCTCTCGCTGGAGTGGGGGCGGGACATAGTGGCAGCGGTGCTGCCACACTCCCGGGGCTGAGTTGCTGAGGCCAACCCTGGTAACTTGGTTGTCATCAGTCCCCTGCAGCCAGAGGGTAATCTGCTCTGTCTGCTTGCGGGGCTCCACGTCAGCAACGGCCCCTGCAGTCCTGCTGTGACCCCACGTGGCTGCGGCGCCGCTGGTCCTGCAGGGTCAGCTCCGTGTGTAGCTCTGGACCGAGGGCCTTGCGGTTGCTCCCCTGCTCTGGGGGTCGCCTTGCTCTTAGCCTCGGCCATAGTCAAGCTTCTTCCCAGGACCCACCCTGCTGCTGACCAGCGAGAACATAAAGCAGCGTTTCGGCTCTGCCGCACTGGACAGGTATGTGGCCTTGACTGCACTGGACAGGTCCAGTTCATCTCCTTCCTGGTGGCTACAAATGTGGCCCAGAGAGGCAACCCTCCGGGTCTATGGCCCCATGTCTGAACCCCATGTCTGTCCCCCCGCCTGTCCCCCGTCTGCCCCCCTGCCTGTCCCCATCTGTCCCCTTGCCTGTCCCTGTGTCTGTCCCCGTTCTACCCCCTGCCTGTCCCCGTTTGTCCCTCTGCCTGTCCCCCTTCCTGTCCCCATTCCTGTCCCCCTGCCTGTCCCCATGTCTGTCTTCCTGTCTGCCCCCCTTCCTGTCCCACTGCCTGTCCCCCGTGTGTGTGTCTGTACCCTTCTCTGTCTCCCATGTCTCTGTTCCGTGTTCTCTTCCATGCCAACCCTCTGTGTTTATGCCTATTGTAACACACTTGTTCCCCCCACCTCGGTGAGGTGCCCCGGCAACCTCACCTAGGGCCTGCTCGGCTGTTCACCATGCTCAGTCTGGGGGCACTGCTGGGCCCCCTGGGGTCCTCCTGCGGGGTTCCCACCTCCCCGGACTTGGAGGTCTCCGAGGGATGGAGTGCCAGGCAGGAAGCAGAGTCTGCGTGTCTGCCCAGAGGGTGAGAGTGTAGCATTCGCAGCATCCACGAGTACCGGCTGTCCAGCTGGCTGGGCCAACAAGAGGACGTCTACCGCATCGTGCTCTATCAGGCGGACAGCACCCTCACGCCCTGGACGCAGCGCTGCATCCGGCAGGCCGACTGCATCCTCATCGTGGGCCTTGGAGAGCAGGAGCCCACGGTGGGCGAGGTGGGTGCCCAGAGCCCTGCCCACCTCTGCACCGTGCTGGGAGACCACCCGGCGACAGGGGTCCCGCCAGCTCTGGCGTCCTGGCTGGCCACGTCCTGACCTCAGCTGCATCCCTCAGCTGGAGCGGATGCTGGAGAGCTCGGCCGTGCGAGCCCAGAAGCAGCTGGTGCTGCTGCACCGGGAGGAGGGGCCCTCGCCATCCCGCACTGTGGAGTGGCTCAACATGCGCAGCTGGTGCTCCGGCCACCTGCACCTACGCTGTCCCCGGCGCGTCTTCTCCCGGAGGGTCCTGCCCAAGCTGGTGAGGCTTGCCCTGGGGCCCAAGGCCCACCCTTGACCTGCTCTGCTCAGGACTCTGAGAGGGTGTGTGTCCCAGTCAGACATACTCCTGCAGAGCTGCCCCTCAGGTGGTCCGAGTTCTCAGGGGCTGGCAGGAGCAGTCAGGGCTGTACACGGACCGGACCGTTGCTGTCCTGCCCTGCCCCCCCGTGGGCCTCACCCCCTACCAGGTCTGAGCCAGAACCTTCCCCCAGGGCTCCCATGTCCCAGCAGGACCTAGTAGTCTCATGGTAGCCCTTGAGTGTGGCCTCTGAGAGTCCTCCAGGCCAGCAGGGGTCCGCTTGGGCCGGCACTGCAGGGACTGGGGGGTTGGGGTCAGGCAGGCCTCATCCTCCTGCTCTGTGGCCCCTCACCAGGTGGAGATGTACGAGCGGGTCTGCCAGAGACCCCCGGACCGCCACTCGGACTTCTCACGACTGGCCCGGGTGCTGACGGGCAATGCCATTGCCCTGGTGCTTGGGGGAGGGGGAGCCAGGTGAGTGCTCACAGTGTGACCATCTGTGTCCCCACCCATCTATCTGTGTGACTCTCCTGCTCTGGGCAAACCCCTGAGAGCAGCCACCCTCACTTCCTGTGCTTCGTGATGCCGTCCTGACCGTCACTGTGTGGGGGCATTCTTGGGGGCACCTTTCCCTCCTTGGGCTAGGGGCCTGACCATGCCTGGCCAGCTCTATCTTGTTGTTCTCGCCCTCTGGAGCGGGCAGTGGGTAGGCAAGGCCCTGCACAGCACACAGAAGGACTGACCTTGGACTTGTGCCACCTGTGCTGCCCAAGGCCCTTCAAGAGTGCACTGGAGGGAGGCAGGTCAGGACACTCGGCCTTCTGTATGTGGGTTTTGGCTTTGATTTGGGGGGCCACACCCAACGGTGCTCAGTGCTTACTCTTGGCTCTGCACTCGGATCCTGGTAGGCTTAGGGGACCCTCTGGGATGCTGGAGATGGAATCCAGGCTGGCCACATGCAAGGCCAGCAACCTCGCTGCTGTCCTATCACTCCAGCCCCTGTAGCCATTGGTTTCCTCTAGGCGCTGGTTGAAGAGCCTCTTCCTCTGGCCTGAAAGCACCAGGGGCCCTCCTTCCCCTCCAGGTCCCAGGGCAGACTGCTCTCAGGCCACTCCAGGCCCCGGGGCACATTCCAGCCAGCCCATCCTCTGGAGGTCTGGCCCATCTCTGAAGCCCCAGCCCCTGCATGGGCTTCTCACTCCCAGGGTCCCCCGTCTCCTGCTCTTCTAGCCATTTGGCGGTTTCTTCTGATGCTTCCTGCTGTCACTGACATTCGTGTTCCCAGTGAGTCCCTTGCATCCATGCGCTGTGGCCCCAAGGGGTCACCAGTGCCCATGTGCTATGTGCCCTCGGCCTTCCTGAGAGCCTGGACGTGGGCTCCCCGCGTTCCCTCCCTCTGCTGCTGGGCCCTGACGTCAGGTTGGAGGCAAGACACTGCCGGAGTCCGCCCTCGTGATCTCATGAGCCACATGCATATGCCACGCCCCACGACTCCCCACTGTCTGCTTGTGACTGGCTGCACAGAAGCCTGAGCACCAAGGCTCGCCCCTCCCTGAGCACCGGGGCATGGGGCAGATGTGTTTGCTGCTGACAGTTCAGCAGAGACTCTTCTCTTTTTCTAGGTTGTGCTTTTCTTGGGTTTTGATGTTTTGGTTTTGGGGCTACACCAGTGGTGCTCAGGGCCAATTCCTGACTCTGCTCAGGGATCTCTCCTGGACGGGCTTGGGGGACCGAATGGAGTGCCTGTGATGTAACTGGGGTCGGCCACATGTAAGGCCAGTGCCCTGCCTGCTGTCTATGCTCTGGCCCCAACTTTCAGAGGGCTGTGAAGTTCCACTCTTTCTGAAGCCTTCCAAGCAGTGTCCATGGTACAGGGCCCTTCCCTGCTGCATTCAGCCCGGGGACTGTGTGGACTGCGTGGCCTCCCAGGTCCACCAGGACCGGCCCATCGCAGAGTCCCCCTTGTGGGTGGGTTCACACCTGCCCCAGACCTGTTTGGGCTCATTGTTCCCACTTGAGCCAGGGACCATCTCCCATCCCCTTTTTCTTGGGGCATCTCTGTCAGAGAGCAACCCCAGGATGTCTACAGAGCTGTGTCCATCCCGGGCAGCCCGGGAGGAGGAGGCAGCTCTGGGGCAGTTTCTGATTGAAGCTGGGCTGCTCCCTCACTTGGTCTGGCAGTGCCTTTGTCAGAGGCTTGAACACGCAGAGCTCAGAACCAGGGAGTCTCAGCCCCGTCCTGGCCTGTAGTGTTTGCATGGTTCTGCGTTTCAGTGTCCTTAGAACCAGCCTGTCAGTGTCTCCCAGAAAACTCCTGCTGAGATCCCAAGGGGCAGATCCTTTAGGCCTCTTATCCTGGAGCCTAGTCCCACCCAGCCTCCCACCCATTGATTCTCACAACTGCAGTCTGGACCCTTACATACCCGTTAGAGACGTTTACAGCATCGTAAACTGTGCCTTTCATGTTTCCTTTTCAGTTTTCTTGCCCCGATACATAAATACAAATGAAGGGACCAGAGAGATAGGACAGGGGTGCAGGTGCATGTCTTGCCACATGGCTGCCCTGAGTTCAATCTCTTAGGGTCTCCTGAACCCCACCAGGAGTGCACCCTGGGCCCCACATGTGAGGCCCAAAACCAGACAAAATCTTGTGTTTCTTTGGGGTTGGGGCTACCCCAGGTGCTCAGGGCCTCCTCTCTGCAGTGCTCCAGTGACCAGGCAGCGCTGGGCTCCTGCTGGTCCTGCACTCCCCTTCAGCCACTCCCTGGTCCTGTGTGTTGCTTCCACTGGGTGGGGGAGGCTGGAGCCACACCTGACCGTGCCCAGGGGCTTCTCCTGCCACTGTGCTCAGGAGTGGCCCCTAAGGGTGTGAGGGGACTGGATCTGGGGTCAGTGGGATGCGAAACAAGTGTGTCCCTTTCTGCACTGGTCACTCTCGTGCCGTGCTGGCCTCTGGCCTTTCTCAGTGCCTTGGTCTTGCCCTCCAGCTGCCCCGGCCATGGCGAGTGGCACACGGCCCTGCCCGTCAGTGCCAGTGCTGCGCTGAGCCCTCACTCCCACCTCCCGCTCTGAAAGGCTTGAGCCTGTGTCTGCTCGTTGCGCTGACACTGTCACAGCACTCACCTGCACTCAGGACAGTGAGTCTCTGGCACTGTTTACTTCCGGAACTCGCCCACCCTGCTGCCCGCCCTGCACGTCCACCCCAGCTGCGAGAGATGCATGCTCAGGCCCCACCACTGGGTGCCAGCTCTATGGGCACTGTCCTTGGGTCTGTGTGGGTCATCTCTGGGTCCGGTCAGAGTCCCTGGTCTGGGTGGAGTCCATTGTCTGGGGGTGTCCCTGGCCTGGGGGGCTTCCCCGGGTCTGGGGGTGTATTCCTGATCTGGAAGGCTTCCCTGGGTCTGGGGGTATCCCTAAGTCTGTGGGGGCCATCCCTGGGTTTCTGGGATGTGGCCCTGGGCCTTTGGGGTCCACCCATGGGTGCCCACTTGTGGGCTGGCTGCAGACTGGGCCTACTCAGCGTTTGGTCTCAGTGTCAGGTGTGTGGGTTTTCATGTGGCTCGTGCATGGTGAAGGGAGCATAGGTCTCGGCTTGGGATGCAGCCAGCCTGTTTGAGGGCCCCAGCCTCCCCAGTTCCCACCTGCCTTGGCATACCCTCCTGGCCTTACACTCCAACAGGCTTTGGATGGTGTCTTGTTGTACCGAGCTGGCCACTGGGAGTGGGTGTGAAGGATGCCAGGGGCTATGCTAACTCCCACTGCTGCTCTGTGTTGGCACAGGGGCTGCGCTCAGGTGGGCATCATCCGGGCGCTGACAGAGTGTGGCATCCCTGTGGACATGGTCGGAGGGACATCCATCGGGGCCTTCATGGGCGCCCTGTACTCAGAGGAGCGGAGCTACAGCCGGATCCGCATCCGGGCCAAGCAGTGGGCAGAGGTACGGGCAGGTACCCACATGTAGCCTGCAGGACACAGGAAGAGGGACATCGAAGGAGGACGCTAATTTCGAGGCACACCTGGTGGTGCTTGAGGGAGCCCACGTGGTGCCCAGGCTCAAACCAGCGACTCCTGCAGGCAAAACCTGCCCCACCTGCTGGGCCACTCTGTGGCTTGGTGCAGGCCCACTGACTGGCCAAGAGAGCATGCGGCACTGGCTGGCCGTAACTGAGGTGCTGGACACAGCAGCAGCTCGGGGGCTGTCCAATGCCCAGGAGCCCTGCCTCAGGCCTCCCCTGGAGCTGTTATGGGTCGGGCTCTCAGCCACAGGTCAGCAGCACAGGGTGGGGTCTTGGAGGACACGGGAGCTGTTTGTCCACAGTGGACGACACTACTCTGGCCAGCGAAGCAGTGGGCGAGACTGGGGTGAGTGTGCTGAGGACAGGTCACCACTGCTGCCTCCACTGGGGGGCCTGGGAGGGTGGTCACAAGCATTCCAAGCTCATGTATACAGAACAGACAAGGCTAGTGGCCCCGGGATAGCCAGACCCCACTGGGAGGCTGTGTGGAAACAGCCACCTGCAGGTGTGGGGCAGGTCGGCCCAGGCTCCATGTGGCAGCAGGGGGTGGGTGGTCAAAGGGTGTGTGTCCCCTGAGAGACCAGCATGGACCCTCACTGGCAGGACACAGGGCCGCCCTGTCCCTGAGCGGACCACCCAGCTCTCTTCCCACCTTGCAGGGGTCAGGATGGCCACTGCATGATGGCTGCCCTGTGTTAGTGGCTCACCTTCGCTTGCCCCCGGAGAAGTGCAGAGGCCATGGGGCGGGGGGTTGCCCAGAGGTGCTGCCTCTGTCCCTGAGCACAGGCTCGTTCGTTCTGGCAGCCCGTCAGCCTGAGCAGTGGGTGGCTACCATCTCCCTGGGTCTCTCAAGCCACCCCTGGGGACTTGCTTGTGACTGGAGGGCTGAGCTGTGCTCACTGAGCCAGCAGAGCTCACACAGGGTCTGAGCAGTAAGGAGTGGACAGCTTCCCACAGAAGGACGCGCCTGCACCTGTGTGCGGGCACAGTGCTGGGAGCCTGGAGCACCCGTGCCTGCCGCTTCAGGGGCCTGGCAGGTGTCCCTGTGCCCCTGCAGGACATGACGTCAGTAGTGAAGACTGTCCTGGACCTGACCTACCCCATCACATCCATGTTCTCCGGCGCGGCCTTCAATAGCAGCGTCTGTGGCGTCTTCAAGGACCGGCAGATCGAGGTGCCTGGCAGCACCTGCCCAGGGGCCCAGCATGTCTCCTGGCCTGTCCCAGACTGACTGGGCTGAGAAGAGACCCCTCCTGTCCCCCTACAGGATCTGTGGATCCCCTACTTCACCATCACCACAGATATCACAGCCTCTGCCATGCGTGTCCACACTGATGGTACTGCGGGCCCCTGCGACAAGGCTCCGGGGTGGGCATGAACTCGAGCAGGACCTGAGTGTGTGCAGCCTGGTCCCATCCCTAGCACCTAGCCATGGGGGTCTGGGGCAGGGTGGGGACTGGCCCTGCGCCACTTGAGAGGCCCATGCGCTGGGCGGTGTTCAGGATGAAGAATGGCAGCTGGGAGGCGAGAGGGAGCTGGGGCTTAGAAGACCCACCTGGGGCAGCAGAGTGGCCTTGAGGATGGGCTCGGGCCATGGACTAGCACTGTTCTCCAGGCTCTCTGTGGCGGTATGTGCGAGCCAGCATGTCCCTGTCCGGCTACATGCCCCCACTGTGTGACCCCAAAGATGGGCACCTACTGATGGATGGAGGCTACATCAACAACCTCCCAGGTACCTGTGACGGCGGCACTCCCTCTTCTGGGGGCTGGGGTGGGCCGGGATGGCTGTCGGCTCTGCTGCCTGGGCTTCTGGGCACAGGCTGCCAGGCTGTGCTCCTCGCAGGCAGCTCTGTCTGGTCCCACCTTTGCTCTGTCCTGGCTGCTGACCGGGTGGCCTCCCCTAGCGGATGTGGCCAGGTCAATGGGGGCCAAGGTGGTGATCGCCATCGACGTGGGCAGCCGGGATGAAACAGACCTCACCAACTACGGCGATGCTTTGTCTGGGTGGTGGCTGCTTTGGAAGCGCTGGAATCCACTGGCCACAAAAGTCAAGGTGGGCACAGCTGGGCAGCACTTCCCCCAAAGTCCTGGAACAGCTGCCGCATCACCACCCCTGCTGCGGGTGGCCAACGAGTGCCTTCCTACTTATGGTCCAGGGCGGTGAGGGACACCTGAGACCAGCTCAGGACAGAGAAGGCAGCTGGGGCTCCATGCTTCCCCGGATACACCAGGCCGGCTGTGCCCCGTGGGGCGGGAGGATGAGCTGGGCCCCCTGACTGTGAGGACACACAGGTGCTGAACATGGCTGAGATACAGACACGCCTGGCTTACGTCTGCTGCGTGCGGCAGCTGGAGATGGTAAAGAACAGCGAGTACTGTGAGTACCTGCGGCCGCCCATCGACAGCTACGGCACCCTGGACTTCAGCAAGTTCGACGAGATCTGCGTATGTGCACGCCCTGCGCCACCCACCCAGCCCGCTATTCTGCCTGCTGCGCGGCCCTTACTCACGCTCTTCCCCGCGAGCACAGGAAGTGGGCTACCAGCACGGACGCACAGTGTTTGACATCTGGGGGCGCAGCGGCGTGCTGGACAAGATGCTGCAGGACCGCCAGGGCCTGAGCAAGACAAAGGCTGGCGACGTACGTGCCTCTGGAGCGACCCCCAGAAGGTGGGTTCTGGGGGTGCAGCCAGGTTGGGCACCCCAGCAGTGGGAGCTGTCCTCCATCCCACAGGTCCTAACCTGCCCCAGTGCCTCCTTCACGGACCTGGCTGAGATCGTGTCCCGCATCGAGCCTGCGCAGGTGGCCACAGTGGATGGTGAGTGGTCCCCTGCAAGGCCCTTGCTGCTGGGTGCCCAGTGCTCGCCAGCCCTGAGCCGAGTCCCCCGCCACAGATGAGTCTGACTACCAGACGGAGTATGAAGAGGAGCTGCCGGGGGGCATCCCGGATGGGGACACGTATGCGGACTTCCAGAGCACACCCGCCATCACAGCCTCCGACTCGGTGCGCCCCAGCTCCACCCGACCCCTGGCCCAGTGGCTCCCTCCCCTGGGCCCCCTCCCAGCCTCCCTGAGACACCCCGTGTGTTTCCAGGAGGAGGAGCCCACCCTGCGGCACAGGCTGGCCAAGATAGGTGGTCTCCCGTCAAACACACCCTGAAGCAGCGGCTCGGTGGGAAATAAGCCCTCCTATGGCCCTGTGTGCTGTGCTGGGGGACTTGGGCCTCTCGCACCGGCAGCTCCGAGGGGGACCCCACCCGGTCCCCGCGTGCACGGTCCCCGCGTGCACGGCAGGGATGGGTGGGGCAGCTGCGTGCCCGGTGCCGCCCTGGGTGTGTCAATAAAGGTGGAAACTATTGTGCGGGCCTGATTACTGGGCAGAGGGACACCGGCGTCCCCCTGGCTCTGCTGGGTCCCAAAGGCCTGCCAGGCAGAGGGGACCCGCCTTCCTGTCCCGCAGTCACGGAGCCGGGAGGAGGCGCGAGGCTCAGGCCTCAGTTTCCCCACAGTGGCTTTGGACATCCCGCTTGGCTGTGGGCGGGGATGCCTCCGCCCCTCCCCGCCGTGACGCAACGGGACGAGGCTCCCGCTGGTCCGGTCGGGGGCGGGGCTCCCGCCCGTCCTGTCGCGCCCCGGGAGCCCCTGCGGGAAAGGATGGGCGGGACTCCCGCTCGTCCTGGCAAATGGAGGGCGGGGCTTTCCGCTGCTCCTGTCGCATCGAGGGCGGGGCTCCCGCGCGTCCTGCCTGTGGGCGGGGCTCCCGCATGCCCCGCCCCACTGTGACGTGCGGGGCGGAGCCTGCAGCCCCCGGCCGGGCAGCTGTCCGGTGCGGCGGGACGCGGAGGCCCGGCGCGGCCATGCGGGTCCCGGGCTCCGGCTCGAGTCCCTGCTCCGGCCACGACCCGAGCCCAGGCTCCGGCTCCAGCCCCGACGCCAGCTCCAGCCCCGGCCCCGGCCCCGGCGCGGCGCGGCTACCCCGGCGGAGGCGGCGGGCGCGGGGCGCGCTCTGAGGTCCGGGGGATGCGCGGCCGCCGCGACCATGGGCGTCGCCGCCTCCCGGAGGAGGGCGCTGAGGAGCGAGGCCATGTCCTCGGTGGCGGCCAAAGTGCGGTGAGTGCGGCGCGGGCGGCGGGCCCGCGGCCCCGCGGGGACACTGAGGCGCCCGTGTCCCCGCAGCGCGGCCCGAGCGTTCGGCGAGTACCTGGCCCAGAGTCACCCTGAGCACCGGAACGGAGCAGGTAGGGCGCGCCGGGCCCGTCGCCATGGCGCCCACAGCCGGGCCGTTGGCATGGCAACGGGCCTCCTGGCACCCGGGGCTGGCACTGGCGTCGAGGGGGCCAGCTGGCGGGGGGCGGGGGAGCTGGCGCGGGGCCGCGCGCTCCCTCCTGCCCCCCTGCCCCCTGCCCCTGCGGTCGCGCCTCCCCTCCCCGGGGCGCCGGCTGCGGTGGCTGGGGCTGAGCACCTGCGGCCTCTCCCCAGACCACCTGCTGGCCGACGCCTATTCCGGCCACGACGGGTCCCCAGAGATGCCGCCGCCTCCTCAGAACAAGCGCCGCCTCTCCACCGTCTCCAGCGGCCGCTCCGACGGCAGCCCCCCGCAGGAGGCCGTGTGCAGGAGGCCGGTGGGCGAGGGCCCCCAGCCGCGCGTGTACACCATCTCTGGGGAGCCGGCCCTGCTGCCCAGCCCCGAGGCCGAGGCCATGGAGCTGGCGGTGGTGAAGGGGCGCCAGCCTCGGGAGCGACAGAGCGCGCACCACCACAGCCAGCCCCTGCGGGCCAGCCCTGGCAGCAGCCACGAGGACGTCAGCGGGTCCTGCCAGAGCTGGGCAGGGAGCCGCCAGGCCTCCAGAGAGTGTCCTGGCTGTGCCCAGCTGGCCCCCAGCCCTTCCCCCCGGGCCTTCGCTCTGGACCAGCAGCCTCCACCTGAGGGCACCAGCCGACGCAAGAAGCTGGAGAGGATGCACAGCGTGGACCGCGTGTCGGGTGAGGGTGCCCCGACCCCGGCTGGTGTGTGGGCCTGCCGAAGCCCTGAGCTCCCAGCCACGTGCCAGACCCCACCTGCACCTTCGTGCAGCCCACAGCAGGGCTCTGCCAGGCCCTTCGGTCAGCTTGTCAGGCAAGGAGTGCATCCTGGAGGAGGGGGCCTGGGAGGCTCTGGCTCCTGGGCTGATCATGTGGGGCGTGGGGCCCCTCTCCAGGGGATTCAGTTCTTCCAGGGCCACTGGGTCTGGGAGCAGCTCCGAGGGCACTGGCATTGCCCATAGCGGTCTGAGGCCCCTTAAGGGCAGGTGCTCCCTGTCCTCTCTGCGGGACCAGACAGGGCGGTTGGGCGAGGGAAGAGTGCGCCCTTACCTCCCCGCCTGGGTGGGCTCTGCCCAGCTCCTCCCCCGCAGCCGGCTGTGCACAGAGCTCCTCGTGGAGCACCAGAGGCTCTGCTGTGCCGAGTCACGAAGCCGGTGCTGCAGGCTGTCTGCTCAGAGCAGCTGGGCCCTCCTCCATTGGCCGCCGGCCGCTTCTGGGGAGGGCAGCAGGCCTCGGGGCCTAGCTCCCACCTCCGTCATATGCCTTTCTTCTTCCAGATGACACCCCAATCCGTACCTGGTTCCCCAAGGAAAACCTCTTCACTTTCCAGACAGCCACCACAACTATGCAAGCGTGAGTCATGGGCTGCTGTGTCCACGGGGGAGGCCAGTGCTTTTCTCTGCTGCTCGGAGCTGGTGCCAGCACTGTCTGCCCTCAGGCCCAGCTGGGCAGCTGCTCCCGCACAGTCCCGTTCTCCTGCTCTGGGTAGCCAGAAGGGCTGCCAGTGCCCCTGTTCGTCACATGCCTGCATCTGCCCAGCTGTCCTGCAGGGGCCAGCCAGGCCTGCTGCTCCTCCGGGCTGGAACTCGCTGCTTTGCCCAACCCCCCCTCGCATGCCCCCACTGCTCCCTGCCTTACATTCTCTTGGCCCAAGGGTTCTGGAGGGGCCCCCCTCTGCTGCAGATCCCGCTGCATCCACATGGCACCTCAGGGAGATGCCCACGCCCTGCTGGCTCAGCCCCAAGGCCAGCCTCATGGTGTGGGCTTTAGGGACCTCAGTGCCAGTTTCAGGGCAGGCTGGCACTGTGCCCACCCCTGCTGGGGCCCAGGGTGCCATGAGGACCCTCAGGCATGCCGGTAGCAGAGCTCACGGGTGGCAGGCCAAAGTGCTGTGGCTCACTGTGTCTTCTCTCTCACGCTGCCCCTTCCCGACACACCACCAGCATCTCGTAAGTACTGCGTGGGGCTTCCAGCCTAGGGGTGCTGCCGTGGTCCTGGGAGATCCCCCCACACACACACAGGCCCGGGCGGTCCAGACCCTGGGCCCCAACTCTGCAGAAGCTGTGTCCCAGGGCACCAGGCTAGTGCAGGGCTGGCCAGACCCTCTGCCTGCCCTGGTGCCCTGGTGTGGCTGTCCCCACCTGAGTCCCTCCTGCCCATCCGAGGGCAGTGCTGACTCGTGGTGGTTTCCCAGGGTGTTCAGGGGCTACGCGGAGAGGAAACGCCGGAAACGGGAGAATGATTCCGCGTCGGTAATCCAGAGGTAGGGCCTGCCAGCCACTCGCCACCGGGGTCTGTCTCTTGTCTGTGCTGGTCTGGCCTGGGCCCACCCAGCCTCGCCAGACCCGATGTGGGTGGCGACCACTGGCCTGGCCCTGCTCTGGGGACGCGGCAAGGAGGAGTGTCATGTGGCTTGGGCCTCAGGACACTGCTTCACTCCCAGACCTGTGTTGTGAGGACACCTGGGCAGTTGAGCTGCCGCCACTGGCCCATCCATGTCCCTCTGGTCCTTGAAGTTAACCTGAGGGGTCAGAAGCAATGCCTGTCCCCTCAAGCCCCACTCAGATGTGACCAGGACACTTGGCTGCTCATCTGGGACAGGGGCCTTGGCAATATGGCCAGGGACATAGTGGGGACTGTGACTGCAGAGCCAGCTGCCCTGGACCCCTGGGGAAGGCAGGCCGGTGGGTCGGTGTGTGCCTGGGCCCAGGGAGCTGTGTCTTTGCCCACAGCAGACTCCAGGAGGGTGAGGGGAGGGAGGCAGGACCGTGACGCCCTGTCACTGCCTCACTAGCACCGGTGCTTCCTCCCACAGGAACTTCCGCAAACACCTGCGCATGGTGGGCAGCCGGCGGGTGAAGGCGCAGAGTAAGACCCGGGCCGGGTAGGCACAGGGCGCTGCTCTTAGCCAGCTTGGCCTGCTGCTGACGCTGGGCCTCTGGCCCGCCCATGCATCTGGCTCCGCCTTCAGCCCCCCGCCAATGCTTCAGGCTCCTCCCACTGGTGCACCCAGCACCTAGGGCTTGGTATCCCAAGCCCTGTGGTCCATTCCCAGCGGCTGTTTCCATGCCTTGAGCCTCCCCATACCCCCTCCAGCTCGGCCCGCCCCGGCTCCAGGCCCAGCGCCAGGGCCCCCCCACCCCCACCCCCACCCCCGGGGGGCCCCCCGCCCCCCCCCCCCCCCCCTCCTTCACAAGCCCCCGCCCCTGTGTCAGGCCCACCCACTCTAGGCACCGCCCACTAAGTTTGGCCCCACCCCAGTCTATGCCACACCCATGCCGGGCACAGGCCCCGCCCACGGCGGGCCCGGCCCCAGTCTAGGCCCCACCAACGCCAGCTCGGTCCCTGCTCGCTAATGCGAGATTTGCTCTCTGCAGCCTTTGCTGAGCGGCGGGAGCGGAGCTTCAGCCGGTCCTGGAGCGACCCCACCCCCATGAAAGCCGACACTTCCCACGACTCCCGAGACAGTAGGTGTCTCCCGCCCGCCTCCCCCAGGAGCTCCCAGGGCCTCCTCACATCCTGCCCCGCTTGGCAGGCCCGCCACGGCTACTGGGCTGCTGCGCTCTAGGCTGAGGGCACCAGTCAGCCAGCTGCTGTGACAGGGTCACGGGAGGCCTTGAGGGGCAGGAGGCTTTACCGCCGGCTTCTTATGAGAGCCGGAGCTCCGCCGCCTTGCTCTGGGCAGCTTTGGGGCTGATGGCAGGGGCTGCTGGTGGCCCCAGCACTGCCCACTATATCTCTTGCTGGCCTGGGAGACTCGGGTGTTTGGCTACTGTGTCCAGCCCTGTGACTGCCCCGCCCCGCAGGCAGCGATCTGCAGGGCTCTCACTGCACCCTGGGCGAGGCCTTGGAGGACCTGGACTGGGAGACTGAGAAAGGCCTGGAGGCCGTTGTCTGTGACTCCGAGGGCTTCCTGCCCCCCAAGGTCATGGTGAGGCCCCGCCCCGGGGCCCCTGCCACCAGCTGGGGAGGGAGGCCTCAGCATTGCTCACATCTGACCTCTTCTGCACCTCGTCCTAGCTCATCTCGTCCAAGGTGCCCAAGGCTGAGTACATCCCCACCATCATCCGCAGGGATGACCCATCCATCATCCCCATCCTCTACGTGAGTGCTGGCCACACTCCCTGGGGCGGGGGGACTGCCCAAGGCACAGGGCTGAAATGTGGATGGCTGTGTCTTCCCCAGGACCACGAGCACGCCACCTTTGAGGACATCTTGGGTATGTGCCACGGGGGCCCGAGGGTCTGGCCATGGGGCCGGGTGCGGGCAGCACTCAGACCCCTCCTTCTGCAGAGGAGATAGAGAAGAAGCTGAACATCTACCACAAGGGGGCCAAGATCTGGAAGATGCTCATCTTTTGCCAGGTGAGGCTGGGCGCCCAGCAGCCGGACCGCTGGGGTGTGGCTGGGCGCTGCCTCCGAACCCTGTGCTTGCAGGGCGGCCCCGGGCACCTGTACCTCCTCAAGAACAAGGTGGCGACCTTCGCCAAAGTGGAGAAGGAAGAGGACATGATCCAGTGAGGGGGTGTGCCAGCCGGGGGGGCTGGGGGCCGCATGGCTCGGGCAGCCCCCCACGTGTGACCTGCCCCCTCAGCTTCTGGAAGCGTTTGAGCCGCCTGATGAGCAAAGTGAACCCTGAACCGAACGTCATCCACATCATGGGCTGCTACATTCTGGGGAACCCCAATGGGGAGAAGGTACAGCCAGAACCTCAGAACCCCCGTTTCTTCTTTACGTCTTCTAGTGACTTTCTTTGTCTCCTTGGGGGTTGGGGGAGCACATCAAGTGATGTTCAGGGGATACTCCTGGCTCTGTACTCCGGGGTTATTCCTAGCTTACTACTAGCGGTGCTCAGGGAACCAAACCCAGGTCGGCCTCCTGCAGGGCCAGCACCCCACCCCAGCTATGCTATTTCCTGCCCCTTCCAGCTGCTTTTTTGTACACTCCTGACCCCTCACTGCCCCCTGCTGCTGCCTGGGACTCACTCTTTCCCCCCTGCTCTTTTCCAGCTGTTCCACAACCTCAGGACCCTCATGACCCCTTACAGGGTCACCTTTGAGTCCCCTTTGGAGCTGTCAGCCCAAGGTGAGTGGCCTGTGTGGGGTGGGGGGTGGGGACAGGCCGCTGCTGAGCCCTCTGCCCGCCCTCAGGGAAGCAGATGATCGAGACCTACTTCGACTTCCGGCTGTACCGCCTGTGGAAGAGCCGGCAGCATTCCAAGCTGCTGGACCTGGAGGACGTCCTGTGAGGGGTCCTCGCACCCCACCCCGCGCTCAGGTCCCTCCGGAACCAGCGCCATGTCCTCCCCTGCGGCTCCCTGTGATCAGTGACCGTGTGGACCCCTCTCCCGCGTGTCCAGGCCCTCCCGTCCCGTCTGATCACCAGCACCAGGACAGCCCCTCTGGGCTAAGGCGCACCTGTGTCTGCGTCCTGCCCAAGCTCACACAGTGTGTGGGGCCGGTCGAGTGGGTGTCGCCTGCTCCCTGTCCAGACACCCCCTGCTGCTGCCCAGCACAGGCCTGGGGGTGGGGGCTGGCCAGGGCTGGGCCCTGCTAAGAAACCCCCCCCCGTGCAGTGGGGGCCTGGACCCTGCACCCCAGACCTGGAGCTGGCCGCTGGTGAACGGCGGGCACCTGGCCTTGCCCAGGCCGCTCCTGTACATAGCTGGGGCTCGGGGGCAGGCCCCCCTTTCAGAGCCTGGGTCTGAGGGTGTCTGGCTGTGCCCTGGGCAAGGCCGAGCTGTGCTGGGCTCTGGCCACATACGAACCCCCTCGAGTGACCATTAAATTGAACCCCTCTGCCACTGGACGTGTTCTCGTTCACTGCCCCTGCGCCGCCATACCTGCTGTGGCCTGGATGGAGTTCTGACCAGCCTCCAGGAGGCCCCTCCCTGTCCATCACGCCCCAGCCTGCAGGGTCAGCTGCTGCGCTGAGGCCCAGGGGCAGAGCCAGCGTGTGCAGGAGGTGGCTTGGGTGTGGGGAGGCTGTGGGCCCAGCCTGGGATCTCCTGGAGGGGGAGAAGGCCTGCCTGCTGGGAGAGGCAAGCCCCCCCAGTACCCTCCTCAGGGGCCCACACACACTTGGGCCCTCTGGCTGAAGGGAGGCTCAGACACAGCCCATGGCACCCCACACCCTGCCCTGCCTCCTTCCTGCACATCCCGGGGCCAGCCTGGAAGAGGCATCTTTGTGCCCAGACAGGCAGCAGCCTGCCATGGCCCTGGCTGTGGGGTCTGGACCTGCGAGTCTCCACTAGCCCTGAGCCCAGACAGAACCCCCAGCGAGGTCTGAGGGGGAGCAATGTGCCCTGGGTCCATCCACTCACCATGGGCCAGCTGGGGACCCCTCCCTTCGGGCCTTGGCACCTTCCAGTCGTGTCCCTTCACTGCCTGGAGGGAGGGGTCTCCAGTGGACTCAGGCGTCTGTCTGCAGGGACGAGATCAAAGAGAAGGTGCCCGCCTGCCCACCCCCCACCGCAGGCCTCCGCACAGAACCAGGAGCCTGGCGGAGGTGGCCAGAGAGGTGGCTTGGCTATGTGGCCACAGCAGCCCTGCCCAGCTTCCTTCCAGGGTGAACAGATACCCCACTGAGAATCTCCGCGGGCCTGTGCGTGGGCAGACCCAAGGCTCGGTGCAGGGGTGGGCACAGGAGAGGGGCAGCCGGAGCCGGGCGCCCACTCCAGCCCATGGTGGACTGAGGCTCCCAGGCACAGCTGGTGGAGCCCAGACCCTAAAAGAAAGATGGGGGGCCCTGGTGACAGGCCACTAGGGTAGGCCAGGAGGTGTGAGTGAGGGATAAGTGCAGGGCTGTCCCCACGGGGCCCAGACCAGGGGAGCGGGCAGGGAGCGCTGGGTCCCAGGGATCCCTCATTCACATTCACCACAGTATGCTAACATGAGGAGGAAGTTGTCTGTGACATCCCCAGTAAAGCCCCAGGGAGTCGAACCCATAGCACCCAAGGAGGTAGAGTGAGCCCCTGAGAGCCTGAGGCTGGTCTGGGTGCAGAGGCTGGTGAGAGCCTTCGAGGCCTCTCTCAGAGCATGAAGCGGACGTCCAGGCAGGTGCCAGTGCTGATGCCATCAGGGCCACTTCCAGCCTGCAACCACAGAACCATACCTGCCTCTGCCAAGGCAGGAAGGTGGGACTCAGAGACCTGGAGAAACCTAGAGAGGCCATGACGGCCAGCGAGGAAAGACACTTGGGGCAGGTGAAGGCCCAGGGCCAACGTCTTGCAACTCCCATCTAGGGGTCCCCCATCAGAGTGTCCAGACCCACCCCCTGCAGACTGCAGTGCCTGCACCTTGGGAAGGGGCAAGGGTGCTGTGTGGAGTCCTCAAGGAGGGTGAGCTGACCTCCAGAGCTTTGACCCCCAGGCCAGCTCAGCCCTTTCCGGTCACCAGACCCAGACAGGCCCTTTTGCTAGGCGCAGGGCCAAGGGCAAAGTCCGCAGCTCGGGAGGGAGGGTGGCAGGCAGGAGAGGCCAGCACGGGCAGCAGGTGCTGGGCCTGAGTTCTGGTGGTCCTGAGTCTGGGGGCCCCTGAGTTCTGAGGGTCCTGAGTTCTGGGGGTTGCCAGGTTCTGGGGGTCCTGAGTGCCAGGGACACCATGGGTGCTGGAGGACCCAGGTTTTGAATGACCCCTAACCTCTGGTGGGCTGGGATCAGGGGGCCGTGAGGCTCTGTGGCAGTTGCGTGTGCTGGGGCGGGGCGGTACACCTGTTCCCGGTGTGTCACTGCCTGCTGGACCTGGGTCCAGGTGGGTGGAGGGAGGGAGCCACACCTGAGCCTCTGCTCCTTCCTCACCACAGGCGCTGTCTGGGCCAGGTGAGGGGCTCCAGGCGCGGGGGCTGGCCAGGGCTCTGGGTGTTCTGCCCCCCTCTCCCTGCCCCGGGCACTGTGGGGACCAAGGGCGACTGGGAGGCAGTGACGAGGAGAGGCCTGGGCCTTCCCTGTGGGCGTGGACCCACAGCCTCTATCTGTCTTTGGCCGACTTCCCCGGTGTGCCGGGCTGGACAGGACCCTGGGGCCAGTGTGTGGGTGGGCAGGCACAGCCCGTGAAGGTCAGAGCCAGGTGGACCTCAGAGGGGGTGGACACTCCTCACAGGCCCCGGCCTGGCTGTGGCTTGGAGCCAAGCGGTGTGGATGGGCTGACCCCGCGAGGGGACTGGCTGCTCCTGGCAGACCCCCATCAGGGTCCCCGGCCTCGGCCACGCAGAGGCATGAGGGGCCGTGTGGATAGCTGGTGTGCGGAGCCGGGCAGCCTCACGGTCACGATGGCTCCAGGAGCAGTGTGCTGTGCGCACGGGGCCAACAGCACTGTGTTTCCAGTTCCAGGGCAGCGGTGCCGAGGCCACAGTTCCCCCGTGGTACACATCCGGCCTCTGCTCCACCCACCATGAGATCTTGCAAGCAACGGACGTCCGCAGCCCTGCTGGTGGGGGCAACGGTCTCAGGCCTCATCACACTCATCCTTATCCTGGTGGAGACCGCCAGTGTCCTCCTGCCCGCTGATGTCAAGGTGAGCCTGGCCCAGGGCAGGGGCCAAGTGCCGGCCACACCCACCGCTGACCTGGCTCTCATTCCCAGTTTGGGCTCGTCTTCGATGCGGGGTCCTCGCACACATCCCTCTTTGTGTATCAGTGGCCAGCAGAGAAGGAGAACGACACAGGTGTGGTCAGCCAGGCCCTGGAATGCAAGGTGGAAGGTGAGTGAGCAGGTGGCCTCATTCCTTCCCCTTCCTTCCCGGAGGGCACTTGCTGCTGGCGAGACCCCTCAGTCAGCAGCTGCACGCACTCTGCCAGACCCTCCCCCAATGAGGGCTGTCTCCCTCGGGTCTGGAGCTGGGTCCTGGGGGCTGTTTCAGGACCCGGAATCTCCTCCTATGCATCCGACCCTGCCCAGGCTGGGGAGAGCCTGCGGCACTGCCTGGACCGGGCCGTGGCACACATCCCGAAGGCCCGGTGGCAGGGGACACCCGTGTTCCTGGGAGCCACAGCGGGCATGAGGCTGCTGAGGTGAGGGGAGCCAGGGAGGAAGCCCCCTCCTTTCCACACCCCCCTGGCCCCTGCCGTCCATACCCCGCCCCTGCTCTCCTCCTCAAGCCCCTCCCTGCCCTCTGCTCCCACACCCTCTCTGCACAGCCAGAAGAACATCTCCCAGGCGACAGCCATCTTTGAAGCCATCAGCCAGGTGCTAGGCAGCTCCCCTCTCAACTTCTGGGGTGCCAATGTCTTGGCTGGGCAGGATGAAGGCTCCTTAGGCTGGATCACTACCAACTATGTCCTGGAGAGTCTGGTCAAGGTGCGCGGGCAGCCTGCGGGGTAGCGGGGAGTCGTGCGCGTGCCAGACTCAGGCCGTTTTCCTCTTCCCTAGTTCTCCTTCTCTGGGGAGTGGGTCCGACCCCAGGAGGGCGCCCTCGTAGGCGCCCTGGACTTGGGTGGGGCCTCCACGCAGATCACCTTCTTGCCGGAAGGGCCCATCCTGGACAAGAGCACTGAGGCCACCTTCCGCCTCTACGGCTCCAACTACAGCGTGTACACCCATAGCTACCTCTGCTTTGGCCGGGACCAGATCCTCAACAGACTCCTGGTCAACCTGGTGCGCTTCTGGGCAGGGCTCCTGTGGGCGGGGATCCCGGCGTGGCACTGGGCAGCTGCTCATCACTGCCCCAAAGTTCCAGCAGGGCAGCGCTGACCATCAGATCAAGCACCCGTGCTATCCCAAAGGGTACCGCACCACACTGGCCCCAGGCCCCCTGTATGAGTCCCCCTGCGCCCACAGCACAGCGCCTCCAGGCCTCGCCCAGAACATCACCGTGGAGGGAACCGGGACCCCTGGGGACTGTGTCACTGCCCTGCACCAGCTCTTTAACTTCTCCAGCTGCGAGCGCCGGAAGGACTGCGCCTTTGAGGGGGTCTACCAGCCCCCTGTGCGGGGCCAATTCTACGTGAGCACTGCAGCGAGCCCTAGGGCCCTGGGGGCTCTGAAGGGGGGGACTTGCACAGGGTCCTGGTGCCTCTGACCTGGGCCCATGGGCTGCCCCTACTGCACAGGCCTTTTCCAGCTTCTTCTACACCTTGAACTTTCTGAACCTGACATCCGGGCAACCACTGACCACAGTCAACAGCACTATCTGGGAGTTCTGCCAGAAGCCCTGGGAGCAGGTGGGTGGCCTCGGCCCTGGTGTGGCGGGTGGCTCTGCTTGGCATGGCGGCTCCGGGTGCCTCTGTGCGTGCCTGGGGGCGGGAAGGTGCCTCACAGGCCCGCCCCACAGCTGGAGGCCAGCTACCCAGGGGACACACGCTGGCTGCACGAGTACTGCGCCTCGGGCCTCTATATCCTCAAGCTCCTGCTGGACGGCTACGGCTTCACCGAGCAGACCTGGCCCAGCATCTCATTCCACAAGCAGGTGAGCCCAGGCCTAGGGCAGCCCCGAG